AAGTATTCCACAGCTTCATGTATGTAATCGTTTTTCTCAAGTATTTACTGTCATACATGCATAGGGATTTTGATGAGAACTATGCTCTTTTGAGCGAACTTTATTTACAGTATTCACATTTGTATATATATCATATCGTTTTTGCTATGAGACAAATGTTCCTTCAGAATAACACTTTCAATGAAATATACATCAATGGAGTAAGGGATTCGGAAAAACAAGAATTGCAGTTTGAAAACCCATCATCTTGATACATAATTGCAAAGTATGGTCATTAATTTTGAATAACAAATACAATTATTTTTACTTGTACTAATTGGTGTAGGTGATACCTCATACACCTATAGTGGTGGCATGTAGCACTAACAGACTGCTGCTAGACAAAATGATGGCACTGTTCCAAGTTTTGTCCACTTCTTTGTTACATATCTTTACCAGCTTAATAAATATATATGATAAGAAGCCGCCGGTTTAATGGCATAGAAGTTTACGTGAAACCTAATTTCAATTACTGTAAACCATGTTCACCATACTTTCTATCTACATGTAACTTTTGTGTAGGGGTGATGTGTGTGTGTGTACTGAGCAGTGTTAAGGTTATTCCGCCTACATTCCGTCCATATATGGAAGGAGTGGATCAAAGTTAAAGGTAAATAGCACCCAACCAGTCTTATAACATATGCACGACTATTCATAAACATGGCATGAGGAACTCTTAAGGTAAAGGCCCTACTTTGGAAATGTCCCAAGGTCATATCTTTATGTCTAAGCGTACTTCTCCTGAAACTATGTAACTGTTTCACAATTCACAAAAATGTTAATAGTGTCAATATTTCCGTCTTTAATGTAAAGAAAAACATGGCAATAAAAGTCTGTCTAGAGCTTTATTAAACAATTTAATGAATGATATAAGAAATAGAATCAAAATGCAGACTCAAGGAATGATCTGATGCAAAAAAAAAAAAAAATGCTTCCTTTCTCAAGGAAAATTTGATTGGGAGTGAAACTACGGATAAGATAACTTGAACTTTTGCCAATAAGATTGGTAGCACGCCACCTACAGGGGGGGTACCATCACTTGAGAACGAGACTCGCGGTGCTTGCCGGCTAACTGGTAAGATAAGGTCGATATAGCCACCCCGTGTTTTTATTTACTCCTCAGAAAGACTACAGATAGACTTTTGACATCCCATTCGACATGAGGTAAGAAAGTGAGCATTAGGATCTCACGGTTACTTTATTAACGTCGTACTGTCACTCCAAATTTAAAGAGTATTAAGCGGAAACGAGCGTCCACAATTAGCATGCAGCTGTCCTTTCCATTAAGGGAAATTATCAATTTTACAAATAGTGCAAATAATGCTGATATTAACTACTGCTTTTTCAATTTCAGTGATCCATTCAGTGTTTTTTCCTAGTACTACTGATACTAAGGAACATCGCTTGCGTTTACCCTGTGCTACCCCGCATTACCCAAAGGTTTAATCGGCAACAGAAAGATGACCATTTCCTTGAACATATTAGCTAAAACTAGACAAGGAGATTGCATGACGTAACAGACGAGAATTGGACCTAGATCTGGGCAACAAAAACGGCAAACTAATTTGGAAGATTGAAAACTTCGTAGAGACATCGAGAAAAGGCGTGGTCATAGAGTCCTCTTTGCTGAAGACAAGCGGCCAAGGCTATGTAGTTCGCCTGAATGTTTCGACCCTTTATCCTCGCATCATTTGACCAACCATTGACATTTGAAAAGGAACTTCATTTCAAAAATGCTGATATGAGTCAGGTCGTGTGGCAACAGCAGCCAATTTCAGAGGTAAACCCCAAAATAGATTTTGACACCATACAGACCAGCCACGTTGATGGTTAGTTGAAGGGACACTGTACGTAAAGTGGACTATCCAATGCTAAAAGAGCACTTATTATTGGCATTCTGTCCAGGACGGTTTTATCAACGCTAGGCCAATAGTTAACTGTACTTTACTGCGACTACTTTGATATTTGTATAATGGAGTTTGACGTGCCCTGCTAATCCCAAGAAATGTTAGTGAATCCGATTGACGTATTTTGAATGTATTGTGTGATAAATCGAGATATTCTCATTGCAGCAGTATTTTACTTTTCAGTTGTGAAATATAAGGTAACTAGAAAAGCACTCCGAGAGCGCATACCTCCGCCAAGGCAGCATTTTTTTATTATTATTGATTATTGATTGGGTATTGATCCAGATCACCACCAAAATCACTTCTAGGTTAACCCATTTCTGACCTACATACCCTGAAAATTTCATCAAAATCGGTCCATAACTTTTTGAGTTGTATTGATGATTGATTTTTGATTATTGATTTTTGATTGATTATTGATCCGGATCACCACCAAAAACTAATCATCTCTCCCTTGGTCCACTTCTAACAACTTCTAAAAAATTATATCAAAATCGGTCCATAACTTTTTGAGTTATGTTGATGACAAACAGAAAAACAGGAGTGAAAACAACATCCTTGGCGGAGGTAATTAATTTGAACTGGTAAAAAGGTATTTGTTCCTGATCTTAGAGATACTGGTATATTAGCCCTTGAGGTCTGCATATGTTAATAATCTTAAAAGAAGTTGCCGAAAAAAAAAACACATGCCACCAATTTATACAATCTTGGACGTGTATAGATACTGTATACTTGGATCGATCAAGGTAAAGTGAAATCTATAACATTTGTGTCACTTCTTAAATACCTTTATACAACTGTTACTTTTCAATTTCTATTTAAAAAGTTATAATAATTATATTACAGTTCCTACCTTATGCGTTCATATGGCTTAAATATCCAATTTTGGAAGGGTCTTAAAAGCGCAAATTAAGGTCCTTTAGCGAGGCAAAATGTTCACGCAGTCTCTATTTATCACTATGCATCGCATGACGTAAGAAAAACCTTGTTCGACGTTAGTGACATATCCATGCAACGAAAAAAGCTCCTTTACGTTTATTGATGGTTGTAAAAAGGTTTTTCCAATGATTGCTCCAAGTTTTTTAATAATAATCGATGCAGTGCACCTTCACTATTAACTTACGTTGGGATATTAACAAAGCATTCACCTGTGCGTCGACGTCGCCACTAAAGACGGGCTATAAGGTCATGAAAATTGTACACCTTCGGCTTGTTCAAAATAAGGCGCACTCGTAAGTCTTTATTTCCATTACATAAAATCTACCAGCAACATAGTAGTTGGTTTAGTTCCCTCATTTTTAAGCATAGTAATGGTATAAAATTGAAATCATGTTTAGACTGAACTATTTCTTAATCCTTCACAAATTCGATATGACATTTACTTCTCAGAATTATCAATTCTGCTTTACCTACAATTCTCCCAATATACACGAGTAGCTCTTTAATATTTAATGAAAACAACATACACTTCTTATCGATTTGTGTAGAATGTAGTACATGCCCTGATTCTATGCTGCATTATAGTAATAACTAGAAAAGCACTCCGAGAGCGCAGACCTCCGCCAAGGCAGCGATTTTTGATTATTATTGATTATTGATCCAGATCACCACCAAAAACTAATCTCTTCTAAGGTAACCCATTCCCCACCTACCCTGAAAATTCCATCGAAATCGGTCCATAACTTTTTGAGTTATGTTGTTGACAAACAGACAGACAAACAAACAGGGGTAAAAACATAACTTCCTTGGCGGAGGTAATGATTATGATTCTAAGCAAGTAGATAAAATCCAGTAATGGACCACCAGCTTTCTGTACGTATGAAGTGAAAGCATTGGTTTAATGAATAAGTTACTTGTTTTATCGGTGTTATAAAGGATAAATTATTTAAGGTTTAATTATTTAAGAGAGAGCGTTGAAGGAAGCCCTGCTAAAAAGTCAAAATTGAGGGTCTACAGGAAATTAAAAGAAGTTGGAAGATAGAATGCGTATGTTTTGTAATGAAAAAGTAGAAGATGAGTATCATTTTTTTTTCACTGCTGAGTCTATGAAATTTCAGGCAAAAATGCATCTTTCCTGATCTGGAGGTGGTTAAAGAGAGACCTTGAGTGCTCTTCACAGACTTTCACAGGAGCACAACAAGTTTCTCACTAACTGCTTCCATGTCAGAAAAAAGCTCTGATATAACTCATGGTAAAGCTGGTGACTTTGTAAACCCACAGGGCTTTACCGATATATACTTTTAATCATATATTATGTATCATAAATATATATATATATATATATATAATCGATACTGCAAGGATTAAAGCTTAACATAAACTTTTTTAACTTACTTCACTGTTTTATAACTGAACACTGATACATCATTAATCAATACACCCGATACATCGATACATCAATACACCCGATTTTAGTAATAAACGTACAAAGTATGTTAAGTACTTTAAAATGACGCTGGCTTTTCTGTACGACTGTTAAAAAAATCATTGATATTTATCTACTATAGGAAAGATAAAAGCGAGAGCCACTTCACTAGCCTCTGTAATGTAAATTTGTTTATAATTGATATTACTATGAAAAGTTTCGATTTCAAATATATGCAGTGATAAAAAAGTATTCGTTCTCATGTCAATTTCTGCCTCAACGAAAATACAAATCATACTCTAATCATAAACATCGTAACAATTTTATTTTTCATTTCTTTAAAATAAAACTGATTCATTACAAATTTCTAATGTTATGATAAAAAACTGACGAACATTTTGAATTGGGGAAGTCAATTAGTCTGATGCTACTTCTGTGTGGAAAAATTACATTTCAGAACCGTTCACACTTTAAGAAGTTATATGGGGAAAAAAGATACTATTGCAGCTGAAATTTTAAGTTATATATTCAACTTGTACTTCACTATCTATAACTGAATACGGATACTCCATGACAGAAGTGAAATACATCCGCCTTTAACAACAGACGTACAAATTATATTTAATACTTTAAAATGACGCTGGTTTTTCTGTATTACTGTAAGAAGATTATCAATATTTATATACCATAAGAAAAGTATAAACGAGTGCCATTTCACTAGACTCTGTAATGTAAATCTGTCTATAATTGATATAACTGTGAATAGTTTCGTTTTCAAATATATATGCAGTTATACGAAGTGTTCGTTCTCATGGTGAATAAGAGATCGTCAGTCCCAACCAGGTTTAAGAACTGCCACATTTTGATGCAGTACCAGAAGGTACCAGGATTGTAAAAAAAAAAAACTGTCTGCACAATTCGTTTGGCTGCGTTAAAACATCATTAACAACTTTCACGGTACTTGTTTTAAGTCACAGGTCTATAGCCACTACAAAAAATCTTTGTATTGTTTTTTTTTAGTTAACTGTTATGGCAGTTTTTCCTTTAAGGCGCCATGCCTTCCCACTCCACGAGGTATTGCACTCTCCCATCTGGCGTCACCCTTCTGGCCAGCACAGTGAAACGCTCCCCCTTTGCCAGTCTATCCACGGCACCAAAATAGTTCTTTACACTGTTCTTTAAGTGATTGAGATTCACCTCAGTTTTGCGCACGCCGTTGATTTGAGCTGGATCCACGGCGTTGGTGAATAGCTGAGTTTGTTGTTCTCGGACAGGTGGCTGTGATAAGCTACGACAACGCCCCCTGTTGGGAGACTGTGGCACCTGTTTTGCCTGCGCCTCAAGATGAGCCAGGGCCTCGAGGCGAAGCTTCTCAGCTCGAGATTTTCGCCCGCGTTTCTTCCTTGGGCTGCCGTTTATTGAGGTAGGGGGCGTGGCGACTAGTCCATTCGTCCTGCCAGTAGCAACATACGAAGCTGACGCCATGACGGTCTGCCCGGTTTGGAGATCTGAAAAAACGGACTCCCCTTCGTCTTCCTCTTCCTGCGACTGCTCGCTCTCAGTGGCCCCATTTTGGTACCAATCTAAAATCCTCGCCTTTAATTCTATCTGCTCTATTTCTTTATTTCTCTCCACAACAGTCTTAAAAGGGTGATTGTATCCCTCGTAGCTACTGGGGCGAGGAATGAAGTAATCAAGAGCACTCTGAGATGAAGTTTCCAAATATTCGCTCTCGTCATCGTCGTTGTTGTTGGTATCAACATCCGAGTCCTCGTCATGGAAATCATACACAGACATGTTTCCGTTGTAACCTTTGTAGGTAGTGTTGGCACTGATAAACCTGCGCATATTTCCCTGAAAGTAAATGAGAATTATTTATAATCTTCAGATTTCCAGCAGCGTATAATCGGTACATGAGCTTGTTGGGTGGCCTGATATGCTAACATATTATCAAAATTGAGAACTATTCTAGGTGAATAATAATAAATAACTACTGTAACAAACCTTGGTCTACCTATCACTTTGCCATGACCTTTCACTTACCTTTGCATATGCCTTCATCAACATATCCTTGGCTAGTTTAGTTCTTGCCTCTACATCTTCACTGTCACACTTTCTTTTAGGGTGCTTTGGGTGCTTTAGGGGTATGGGCGAGTTGCTAAAAAAGGAAGGGAATATAGTAAGAAAAATGCAATAAGTTTATCCTAGATCTTATCTATTTTTAAAGGGCAACTCCATGGGATTTACCTGCCAAAATGGATTTTCCAGGGAAATTTTATTGTACTCACGAATCATTTATCTATTCCCCTCTGCACTTTGATCCGACCTTTACTTGAATTTATAAAGGTTAATTTATTTTTGAATGACTGGCCAGTCAATATATCAAGTGACCAGCTTCTCAAGCTCCAATGGTAATATCAACATCAGGTATGCTCCAGAAATAATTATTTAAGGGGTTAAATCGTTTTCATTTAGTGTATGCAAGGTTTTATAAGAAGCTGTGGATGGCAAAAATAAGCAGGGGATTTTCAAACCCATGGAGAGTACCTTTTAATTCTGAAGCTGGGGTTTCTATTTCAAGTTTTGGCAAATATGTAGAGACTGTACAGAACACAAAAGAGTAATCATACAAATCTGAAAATTCAGAACATGGCTGTTTGTACATAAAATATAGAGTGTAAAGATAAAGAAATATATTTCACCATCGTCTTCTGCCAAATTTCTGATTGATTTATCATACCTTTCAATTGGCACAAAAGTTTTTGTTTTTCTGCCTTTCATTTGCAAGTTATTCATAACTTCATCTGTTATTTGTCCATCTTCTGGGAGAATAACGGTGGGAGCTGGGGGAGGGAGGCGCACCCTCAGACCCCATAAAGTCACTTTCTTCTTGATTTCACGCCCCCACGCAAACCTGAAAAAACGACAACAGCTGTATTGAATATATGGACACAGATAATTTGCCAAAATCAATGCACAGAGTACTATTAATAAAGTAAAATGGGGTTAGATTTCAAAATGGAAATTTTTATATAAAATCTACTCCTTTAATAACGTTAACACCAATTGTGAAGACAGACAACAAGAACATGTTGGCATCACCTTCTGCCCAGCAGAGTGAAACACTCCTTTTGCCAGTCTATCCAAGGCACTAAAATAGTTTTTTTTTTCACTGTTTTTCAAGAGATTGAGATTCACCTCAGTTTTCAGCAAATTTTGGGTAATTCAAAAGAAAACAATCAGAGCTTGATAAAAAACTTATTCAATCCATGCCCAAATTCTAAGTTTTCACATTCAGAGAAGCTAATTATACCAATGAAAAAAAATGTTACACCAAAGTAATTCTTTAAATAAGAATTTTTAGGTAATTCTTAAAGGAGGCAATAAGCTAAATGCTCATTTTGACACCTGGTATAACTACAATACCTTGTTTTATTCCCCTGCAGTGTTTCCAGCAAGGTTCTGGCCCTCTCACCACGGGTGGTACTGTCCAGCTGGGAAGTTAATAATGTAAATATAATGAGAATTTTGGATTTCTTATTTGCAGAATATTTGCCCCAAAAATAAACCAAATGCCTATTTCTTAAGAACCATTTTTTCTTCTTATCAAGCTTACAGCATTCATTACTGCCTCAATAAATCCACAGAAATCAACATGCAAAGTGAAAGACACTGTAACAAAGACAATCATCAAACAGCAATAATTAGTCCTGAGAAAACAAAGTCATATCAACCATCACAGCATCATAATGCTATATTTTTATCAATACGTTTTTGGAATAACATATAAATATTTATTGTTTAGAAGAATTGCAAAATCTGGTTTCAAAGAGCCAATAAAAATTTCACAAAAAGCTGAAATTAATTCAATGTGGCCACCCCAATATGTTAAATCCGATACTAATATATATTATTCTTCTACAAAAGCAAGCCAATTTTTTTTAAAAATAATATCACACTCACATGGTTGACCTGTAGTCTCTCCCAGTTCTGGTTTATCCAGGGCATAAAATTCTCATCAAAGTCATAATACTTCTTATTGTGCTGCAGTGTAAGGTTGAACAAGGCAAGCTGGGCCACATCCATCCTAAAATGAGGGCAAGGTCAAAGGGTCAAGGTCAGCACTCTGATAAGTCACAGTTGAATAAAAATTAGTCAACAAATACCTTACTTTATCAAATGTTTTATCTAGATGCACTAATGTACATTCATAAAACAGATGAAAAACAACACAGGCCATTTCACAAAAATAGTTATAATCTAATACATATAAATTATTATAACATATAGGCTGATGGCAGCCCATACAGTTTTCTACATAAGCTAAAATGTTCTACCTTGTCTTTAGAGAGAGAAATGTTTTATTTTACTCTAATTTGATGATTATTTTGTCTTATCACCACAAAATGGTATCAAAAGTTTTCAATACCATTTGAGTTCCAGTCTTTTGACATACTCAATGCCTCCATTACACATAGTGCAGACAAAGATGTAGAACCTGTCCCCATACAGCAAGGTGTAGCTCAAACACTGGGTACATGCTGGAATAACACAGGAATTGTGAACATAATAATAATAACAATAATAAATTTAATAATAATTTCTATAGAACTGCACCGCACAATTTGTTTCAGTGCCAACTATGTTCATTTAAAATTATCAATTTGTCAGAAAGCTTTTTTTCCAATTTATATATAACTTGCAACACCCTAGCAAAAGCTATACTAAGTTACTTCAAAAGGTATTCTGAGATTTGGTTACTGCTTCACAGATGAGGTGAGCACTCACCCTCGTGGAACCACTGCCGACAACGACAGCACTGCAACATTTTCATGTACCAACTGAAAGAGAAAGCATCCATTTTTATACTAATTTCGATTATTTTTGGTAACATCATTTCAACACAGACCATTATTATTTTTTCCTTGCAGGCTTGTTTTCACTCATTAATAAATACAATGCCTCTTTACATTATTGTGTTGAAAAAGCTAAATCATTTTATACTTTCACATCTGACTGAAACATTCAGTGTTGCAGCATCCCAAGATACTGAAAGAAGTTTTGAGAGCAAACTTACTCCCCAGGCCCCCCACAATAACAGTATCGCTGGTCACTGTTGGTCTTGTGCTGGGTGTCCCAGTTTAATGTACTCATCTGAAAAACAACAGCATTTTCAATGACAATGTCAACAATGACAACACTATCACCCTGTGCTGGCTGTTTGACAGAGACTATATTGTCAATAAACAAGGATGACAGAGCTGGTGTGGGTGATGGTCTTTTTAACCTTTTTTATCCCAGCAGTCTGTGATGTTAACCACTGGTCCTACACTCAGGCCAGTAACATTTTGTTTGGACCAGTTGTTTTTTCAGAATATGTGAATTCAGTGGTTCAACATGGTCATTAGATCTTTTTTTATATTTTTTCAAAAGAGCTTTAGATCCGATTTAATTTTTTCTAAAATATAACTGTTACATGACAATTATCAATGATAATAATATTATTAAGTTATTGCTAAAATTAATGCAATAGGGGATAATGACCAGTCTTATTGACATTTTTATTCAGACCAGCGAGTCCTGATTGGCACTTGTAGATTTTATTATACTAGTGGTTAGAATGGGCAGTAAGCTGAAAAGTTTATAGCACAGACTGTTTCAGGAACTTGTTATTTGTCATCTCCTGAGATGATTAATTAGTTTTTTCAGGTTGGCTGCCAACGGTAACAAAAATGAGGGATCAAAAATTATTGCCTCAGCTGGCAATCTGACGAATAATTGAATATGGTTTGTAAACTTGTTGCCAAGGTTATAATGTACATCTAGACTTAACTGAAAAGATATTAGGGCATCGTTAGCTGATCTGCATGAAAATACAAATTCTCAAAATTAAATTTGAGATTATGACAAACATTTATCCCTTAAACTTTTACTTATTTAAACCTTTAACGATAAAAACTGCTACCACAAAAAACTTAAAATACCAGTAGTTTTCAAGTTCACATACAATGATATAGGAAACATAAGACCAAAGAAAGCCTACTTACAGCATATGGCAAAACTCTTTTCACTGGTTTCAAGGGACCTTTTCTTTGATACGTTCCTTTCTGAAATACAAGCATATTGTACTTTTAATTAATAATTATATTATACTACTAAATATTTCTGTATGAGACTTACCAAAAATGCACAATAAAAACTATTTTATTTCAGAAACAGGTAAAGGAAGACATTTTTAAAAAACTTTATTAAAATGTACTAGAAATATTTTTTAAATTGGAAATCCCATTTTTTTCTTGGCATTTTTCCACCAGAAGCAAACCCCCCCCATGATCCTTGTTTGTAAGGTTACCTTGCCACTTCTAAATACATTTTTCTTATCACTCTAAATCATGCCTGAGACAAATTTATCAGAATTGTCAAGTTGTCAACAAAGTATTCATTAGATTGTTACAAATCAACCAAATAAAACCAGAGCCAAGTGTTTTCATTTACCTTATAACTGGTAGCAAATACACACTGCCTACACAGCCAAGGGACATCAGGCTTCAGAATATCACTCTCTATTGGTGGGATGTGGCACTCCTGGTGATAACCTACACAAGTCAAGAACTTCAGTGCTCAAAAAGTATGCAGTTAAGATCATACCGCAGAAACATCTTAAAGTGTAAATAAAAATATTTCTTAAATTTTCACTTTGCATTCACTGTTATTCAAATAAATTAAGTTTTTAAGACTCATCATTTTCACTTTCTGATAAAGCAGACAAGCTCAATCTGTTCATCTGGACTATTCAATTACCTTCTGATATTATCAACAATACTAATTTAGGCAATTATAACTGACCAATTTTCACGACACCTGTTCATATTCAGTGAGTAATTACCTTACATACTTTTCATCTAAATCACACCATTAATTCACCAGAGCATCACACCAACAAAGCTTTATCTACAGACACCTACCCAGACCACAGTTGTCACACAGCACTAGAGACACCTACCCAGACCACAGTTGTCACACAGCACTAGAGACACCTACCCAGACCACAGTTGTCACACAGCACTAGAGACACCTACCCAGACCACAGTTGTCACACAGCACTAGAGACACCTACCCAGACCACAGTTGTCACACAGCACTAGAGACACCTACCCAGACCACAGTTGTCACACAGCACTAGAGACACCTACCCAGACCACAGTTGTCACACAGCACTAGAGACACCTACCCAGACCACAGTTGTCACACAGCACTAGAGACACCTACCCAGACCACAGTTGTCACACAGCACTAGAGACACCTACCCAGACCACAGTTGTCACACAGCACTAGAGACACCTACCCAGACCACAGTTGTCACACAGCACTAGAGACACCTACCCAGACCACAGTTGTCACACAGCACTAGAGACACCTACCCAGACCACAGTTGTCACACAGCACTAGAGACACCTACCCAGACCACAGTTGTCACACAGCACTAGAGACACCTACCCAGACCACAGTTGTCACACAGCACTAGAGACACCTACCCAGACCACAGTTGTCACACAGCACTAGAGACACCTACCCAGACCACAGTTGTCACACAGCACTAGAGACACCTACCCAGACCACAGTTGTCACACAGCACTAGAGACACCTACCCAGACCACAGTTGTCACACAGCACTAGAGACACCTACCCAGACCACAGTTGTCACACAGCACTAGAGACACCTACCCAGACCACAGTTGTCACACAGCACTAGAGACACCTACCCAGACCACAGTTGTCACACAGCACTAGAGACACCTACCCAGACCACAGTTGTCACACAGCACTAGAGACACCTACCCAGACCACAGTTGTCACACAGCACTAGAGACACCTACCCAGACCACAGTTGTCACACAGCACTAGAGACACCTACCCAGACCACAGTTGTCACACAGCACTAGAGACACCTACCCAGACCACAGTTGTCACACAGCACTAGAGACACCTACCCAGACCACAGTTGTCACACAGCACTAGAGACACCTACCCAGACCACAGTTGTCACACAGCACTAGAGACACCTACCCAGACCACAGTTGTCACACAGCACTAGAGACACCTACCCAGACCACAGTTGTCACACAGCACTAGAGACACCTACCCAGACCACAGTTGTCACACAGCACTAGAGACACCTACCCAGACCACAGTTGTCACACAGCACTAGAGACACCTACCCAGACCACAGTTGTCACACAGCACTAGAGACACCTACCCAGACCACAGTTGTCACACAGCACTAGAGACACCTACCCAGACCACAGTTGTCACACAGCACTAGAGACACCTACCCAGACCACAGTTGTCACACAGCACTAGAGACACCTACCCAGACCACAGTTGTCACACAGCACTAGAGACACCTACCCAGACCACAGTTGTCACACAGCACTAGAGACACCTACCCAGACCACAGTTGTCACACAGCACTAGAGACACCTACCCAGACCACAGTTGTCACACAGCACTAGAGACACCTACCCAGACCACAGTTGTCACACAGCACTAGAGACACCTACCCAGACCACAGTTGTCACACAGCACTAGAGACACCTACCCAGACCACAGTTGTCACACAGCACTAGAGACACCTACCCAGACCACAGTTGTCACACAGCACTAGAGACACCTACCCAGACCACAGTTGTCACACAGCACTAGAGACACCTACCCAGACCACAGTTGTCACACAGCACTAGAGACACCTACCCAGACCACAGTTNAGCACTATCTCGTTGGGTTGTTCGGAGGTTTCACCTTGGCAAGTACAACAATGGATCTCTCCCTGGCTGGGCCCTGTGAATTTAACTGGAATTACTTTCTATTCATTATTGTAAAATAAGTGCTGATTTACCATGTCAGCATCTAGATCAGTTTTTTTTTTTAGTTTTTGGTTTAGCAAAACATCTAAAATATAAGTTCATCTACAGGAATTTGTAAGCAGTTATATTCTTGTGGTTATTTTTGATTGATAAATTACTCAGGATTTGTCCAAATTTAATTTTGAAATGGCCAAATGATAAATAATAGAACCTAAACAAAATTATGCATGATGACACTCAGCTTGTAACAGAATATCTTAAATTCCTATGGAAATATTCAAAGCATGGTGAGTCATTATAGATATTCTTTGTCTTGAATACATGTGTATATTGAAGTTAAAACATTACCTCTCTGTATGTGCCTAAACAATGCCCAATAACAGGAGTCATCCTCAAACTTCACAAAACATTTCTCTACTTTGGAGTCCACCTGAAGTCCAATTAAAAGAACATATAACACTCAAGTAACAAAAATTTTCAGTTCAAATTAGACTTCAAATAAATGTGATAGCATAGTTGTGGGGCTGCCATGGCAACTATTGCCTAACATATATTATGGCAATTATTACCTTCAGTAAAGTTCCCAGATACAACAGGCCGTCACTCCAAGTCACCAACACTTCCTGTCCTTCCCAGAAAGTCTTGTCGTCCTGGGGTTTGTCTGTACTGTGCGTAGACCCAGCCTTACTTCTCCTGCGACTTTCAGACTCATTTTCAGTATCAAGCTCAGTTTCTGTGCAAGTTGTGGAGTCACCACCAACATGTTTTCCATCTATGTTTGTAAACAATTAAAGGAATTAAATAGCAAATTACTAATGTACATTTAAACAATGAACTGTGTACAAGATCTTGTTTTTGACCAAAGTTAGAAATCACAAAGGAATCCAAATATATCAAAACCCAGTTATCAAGCTGAAACTTGTACGCTGTCAATGATGCACACTCCATCTAAAAAAACATTTTGAGATAAAATGCTCAAATACTATTAAAAAAGGCAACCAAGTGATTTTGAAAAAATAATGACTTTTTTGTCTTAATGAAAAAAAAAAATTGATAGAACAGTTAATTTTAGGCAATGTATCTTTCAAGCTATATGTTCAATGTACAGAACACATACAGATATTTAAAAGGCAAATATCTCAATGATTTAAATGTTTAATTTATTTCATATGGAAAAGTTTAGATATATTACTTACTGCACACAGATGAAATGATTCTTCTCTTGCGTATTTTCTTCATGCTTGCCGAGCGTGCCATGCCCTCCGTTTTGGCTCTTCTTGTTGGCGTAACCTTGACATTTTTATCCATGTCTAATGTTCTCAATCTCTTGGCCACTGGGGATTTAGGAGAGCCCTTAGATGACTTCCGCTTCTTCACTTTCACCTGAGAACGGTCTGACTTCTCATCATCATAGACAGATTCCCCGTCTGATGAAGAGGAGGAATAGCTAGAAGCATTACCATTCAAAAGATGTTTGTCAGCTCTGGACTTTGGACTTCTCCTTATGCTAGTTTTAAAGTAGATCTCTGTGGTGTCAGTGTCAGTGGACTCATCATCTCGCTCACCAGCACTGGATGTATCGGTCTTGCCAGATTTTGCCTTCATTCTAACTGGAGTTTCTCCCACCATAGAAGAAATGCTACCACCACCCTGTTTCTCTTTAAGTTTATTTGCCTTTAATGGCACTGTCCCGTTACTAGATAAGGGTGATAGATCAGTACTCGTTGTAGGTGGTGCCACCTGTCGAACTTTCTGTCTGGACTGACTTAGTGGGGAAACAGCAGCTCTGGTTTCTCTCCTAGGTGGAGCAGGTGGGCTACCCATGTCCATTTGTTTGACAGGTTTATTCAAAGCAGCTTTTAACTCAGTAAAGTTTTGACTAGGTGGGATGCTTGCTCTCTTTGTCTCTGACTTCAAACCTAGAATTTATACAGCAACCTTAAATGAAGTAAACACGTCAATGTACATAGTTTCAGTCAATTTTACACTTTTCAAGTACTACGTTAGTTTTTGTGGTAAATTAGACAAAACAAGTACAATTTCTTCAGATACTGAAATATGAATAAAATAATTTTACCTTAAAGCATTTACAGTAAGTGATATAAATTTTATTTCTTCACAATTAAGTTTTGACACTTTGTGAAAAGTACCCAGAGCAGGAATGGGTCATTGCCATTTAACCTTATATGTCCATATTATTACTGCCTGCCTGTATGTAAACAGATGAGTGCATATGCACAGGCCATTATGACTAACCTTTGAGGGGTGTTGGGGTGCGTGACTTGGACTCACTCCGTCGACTACGTGTAGGACTGGGAGAACCCTTCTCCCCACCACCTCTCAACCCTCCCACTCTGGCAGGGCTTGTGCTACTTTCTCTGGAACTCATTCTGCAATGAAGCCTAATTATGACTCTCTAATGAACTGTCTTGATACAAAGTGATAGAATGGATATATTTCTGTGATATAACTTGATACCCCCCCCCCTCCTCCTCCATCGCATTCCTGCGGCACCACAGAACGCGAATAATCAAGTACATTTAGTTTCCTGCTTATATGTGATATCAATCTGAATAAAGCCCAGGTCTTCCTTTTCTCCCTCTCCATCTGTACCATAAACTCGGTCCATGCTAATACCAGGCACAGAAAGGATAATGTATCGACCAAGACAACATGAGGCATTTACTTCGACAGTCTTCGTTCACAAACACCTTGCCGCCCATATATCAAAACACTCTTTAGGAAGGTCACCTCAAAACATCTCACTTAATGAATGTCAGATGACGAAATTAATCCATAGTTTTTACAAAACTTACCCGTAATACAGTCTGTCAATACGGGAGGTAGATAAAATGCTGACTATTTTCTCAATCACGGATTGAGTCGCCGTTTTCTCCCGCCATCTTTAAACTTAAACTATTCCGCTTCACGAGGCGGATGAATATTTGTATATGTATTATATGAATTTGGATATATTCAATTGAAATGCAGCCATAATCGTATTCAGACGCTACATTTTCCGCCTTACTTTGGATTTGATTCATAAATACAAACATTTGCTTGGAAATTTAAGGACTAAATTCTCTGCCCAGATGATTGAAATCGAGGCAGCAGTTGTTCGACACTTCCGTCTTAGGAAATGTGACGTACTTCTGTTGTTTGTTTATAACGTGACGACTGCACTGAATTCCTACGACACCCCCGCATACGAAGAAGCACATTGAAAAATCTAAGAAGCCAGCGCCTCAGCATTGCATAGACGAGCAATGACAAACCAAGGAAAGGGGGCACAGCGGGTCGCTTAACCCCCACACCAAACCACATGATTTTCCCTGTATACCCTCTTCTCAGCCAGTAGGCCCTATAGGCCCCCTATTCTTTCCATATTTTCTACAGTAAGGCCTAAAGCCAAATGCACATTTACGTCATGATACGGAGAATATTAATCATTTTGCTTAAGTTAACAAACGGAAACAATGCGACCCGCATCGAAAGAAATAGCTTAAGTCAGTAGGCCTACACTAACAATTTCAACTCAGATTAGAATCAGATTCTTTATTGACAAACACCTTCACATAAAGGTACAATCAATTACAATACTAGTAACTATAACATAGAACAGACAAATAAATAGATAAATATATATATATATATATATATATATATATATATTAGCATATGGTTGACATCAATGACTATACAAATGGATACGTCCTGTAACTCTCATACATGAGCACATAAAATGGCGCAACTTAAAAGTTCGGTTGATGGGTAAATGTTCTTTTCTGGAAGAAAACAACTGTAACGCATAAAAAAATAATTATCTAAACACTTCAACGGGGTTGCGTAGCTATGAGGCCTACACAGCGAACTTAGGCCTACCAAGCTGTTTAAATCCTCTGTAGCAACCAAGTGAAGTTCTTAGGCTACAATTATTAACATATGCCTACACCTGAAATAGCCTACGAACATATTCAGTGGTCTTAAAAATATTCAACCAACCAATTTCATTAGAATCTTACCTGCTCTCCTAGTTTAGAATTTGAAATTGACGCATTCCTCAGCCGTTTCTGGTCTGCCTGGTGTAGCAGATTATCATGAAACTCAAACCATAGTTCTCGGTGTATTATTTGGCATACATTCTGCGAGTAAATATCTGTAGGCCTACAAGTATTTTACCGAAAAAAAAATTAACAAAACATACATATCCTCGGTCATATGACTAGTGGCATAAATAGTGACTGACTGCAAAATGCTTGTTTGTAGTGCTATCAACTCTCGAATATCATTTGTTGTTTCAAAGTCGGGTTTCGACATCAGATTTGAACGTTTTTTTGTTTTTTTTTTTTTTTTTTTTTTTTGTTGTTGTTGTTATTGTCGTCGTCGTTTTTTTCATTTTTATTTTTTTTTTTTTTCACGCAGCAGGATTTACATCACGATAAAAAACCTCTTAATTTACAAGTTTAAATAGACAGAAGTGTACGACATATAGACTATGCAAATCGTGACGCCGACAGTAGGCCTACTTATAATTACATGTAAATTACGTGATTACGATCGAGTACGTATATATAATAATTATTCCGTAGGATTGAAGATATATAGGCCTATATATAATGACAATGTTGCTTGCAGAAAGCGGGCTACTTATCTATAGGCCTACTTATTTCCTTTAATTACAAAAGACTAGCCAACAGGAACACACAAAAGAACAAAATCAAGCACAAATATTTTGGCGTTAGCTCAACTACTTTTTTGTTTTTAATAAGTTTAGGAGTGAGATATAAGGATCATTCCGCTATTGAAAAAGTTATTTAAAAGCTGTACCCGAAGTAAAACGAATTACTTCTCTCTTACCTGGTCCAATGCAATCATGTTCTCCACAGTTTCAAATAGGCCTATTTTGGTCAAAATAAATTTTTCGTTTCTTTTATGCAAAATACTGTGCTAGATATTCACACCTGTCAACATTTATAATTGCCAGAAAGGAAGATTTCCTCGCGCCTCCAACTTATCCCGCCTCGAGACGCGCGTGCGTGCTCCTCTCTAATCAATCTTTTTAATATTTTAATTGAAAAAAAAAGAAAGAAAAGAACACCGCCCATTGTTTAAAAATATATAAACAGTTTGCTGTACATAAGTCATAAATTATTTAAGAAAAATCAAATCGCCCAGTAAGTAATTTATTAATTTTCAACTTTATGTCTTTTAATGTTTGAAGGAAGCCTTTCACAATACTCAGTAGCATTGTTTGTTGCTCTGTTAGTAGTGATTAAATATGCGTTTAAACGTTCATTTGAGGGAGATTTGTTTGAAATTGAAAACACAATTTACAACACAAAAATGTTACTGTTACTCAATCAGCACAAATGAGCAAATTGATCCCAATGCATTAATAACGAGAGAGGTTTTTCTCATATCATGGCAATGCGTATTTCTACGTTATCTAAGCGGATAAGATAATACATGTAGATCGATATCGTAACACACAGTTCTACCTCTACGTTATTAACCGAAAAATTATATTTATTGTAAGGTAACTTCTGCTTACCTTCTGAAGTAGAATAAATTAAAATCAGAAATTGGGAGAAGGTTTAGTTATCAAGCCTTTTCTGATGCCCAAGAGTTTCGTAGGATTCTTCAATCCTACAAAACAAGTTCGATTGTTTTTCTTTAGTATGTGGAATAAAGCAGACATGCATGCCACATATAAACCTATGTGAAGGAGATTTTTAACACGAGTAGTTTCTCTCATAAAACAGACAGCAAATGTCCCCCTACAGTCACTTGTCCATGACTTCGCCCACTTTGCCTTAAGCAAAAAATAAATAAATAAATAAATAAATAAATAAATAAATAATAAAATAAATAAATATTTTTTGTTTCTTTGTATTATATCGATGTCGTAGAAGTCTATTTACATATCTTTATTTTATTTCAATTGGTCAATTTTTCTTCCAGGTTGTTGATCTGAAATAGACTTGAAGCCTTGACATTATAAGAGTAAAAAAGCTAACTGAACTCTTCTTCGTAGAGGCACAATTGTCATAAATACATATAATTTGACACTGTTTCGTATTTATACTGTTCTTATAAGCATGGTTAATGCTACAGAAAACTTAATGATATGACGTTTTCGTTATCCACTGTAATTGTTTTTGAAATTTGCTTTTCTAAAGTCTAGCTGAAAATACTGCACATATAATGTCATAAATAGTTTGGACTATGGTCCATATCTGTGAGGTGCGCACGACAACGGCGGGAGGAGTCTACACGTGCCTGATTTACACATTGAAGCACGAGTGCAAAACCCAGTGCTCTTCTTCTCCACACATTGGTTTGCTATGAACGGGTTCAGCAGGGAAGTACAATACTGATGGAGTGTGCAGTCGGAATCGTCCTGGCAGTCAACACACCGATTTGGAAAACCGACACATTTGTCGCTCTGGCACATCCTTCCGCGATTACACAGGGCTGTTCTGGGAAGTTTTTCGGCGCAGACGTTACACTGAAAAGCGCTGTCATTTTTACAGTACTGGTCTACCGCGCATGCTGAATCTAACGTGCATTCGACGCACACCAGCTCGTGGCATTGGCCTGTTTGGCACATGGCGTCACGTGTGCAACTTTCGCACGTTTCCTTTTTCAAAGCACACGTGCCTGCAGCAACCCTGCAGTAATATCCGTCGGAACAATCTCCGTCGCTGTCACAACTCACACACCTAAAGCCCGAGCACTTGCCGCTCAAGCAGTCGCTATCACCAGTGCACTGGCCCCCTACTGGTAATTTATCGGCGCAGTAATTTATATTGAATGGAGCAGCTTTGTTCTTGCAAAACTGGTGAGCCAGACAGTGGTAGTCTTCTTTGCACTCAACGCAGTGAAGTCCGTCGCACAACCCTTTCTTGCACATCTGGTAATGAAAATTATTACTGTAGAAAGATATCAACAAGAGTATTTGTATTTTTTCCTTCTTGTTTTTTTCTTTTTTTTTTCTTTAATGTTGATGCCAGATTAATTCGGGTCTCAATTGAGCCCCTTTTTCTCTTGAAGTATTTCAAACTTTTGATAATGAAATGTAAAATGCTTTTACCAGAACTCAAATAGTAAAGAAAATATTTTAAAATCACTTCTTATGATTTCTATATATGATATATATTCATACTTTTTATTTATTCTTTGCTTCATTCGTTTACACTCATTCTCAATATATAGCTCCATTTAGCTTTTTTTATTTTATTAAAAGTAAGCGAACGGAAGAATTGTTTTTCCAGGTTGAACTATGCTTACATCAGTGTAGCATGTTAAAAATTAAAAAATAATTCAACAAAAACTCAATAAATAGCTTGGGTCTACTCTTGCGGTGTCGCTTTGTTTTTAAAAATTGAAGAAACCTTCGTTACGATTTGTTTGATGTTTTAAAAATATTTTAGCCATTCAATAAAATCTTCAGTTCAGTTACATCCATGATTAGATAAACGCTATAGTGGCATACTTAAATGTTTTACATGAAACACGACAAATCAGCATTCTCATTGAAAGTAATTCGCAAAACCCTCGTTACCAGGCGTTGTGACAATATGTACTTAAGGTGGAATGGAAATGTGTCAGTAAAATAAACGTACATCTCGTAATACCCTTTTAGCGCAGTCTCATTTTTGTTAGTATGAATAACGCGCAAATATTATCCAAAATGGTTGTTATTTTAAAACTTTCTCTAATAAAACAGTTTAAAATCGTTACTAAATATGAACATTTCCCCCATACTAGCAAGGTATTTTTTTTTAATTTTCCATGATTCACACAAAAGCTAGATTTATCACTTTCCGTCACCACAGATTTAGAAAAAGTAGAATTCGCGAATATATCAATATATCTTTCACTTCTATTTTCACTTCTCTGTTTTCTTCAGATGGAACTATATATTGAGAATGAGTGTCAATTAAAAACCCTTCACCAAGCAAAGGTCCCTTTAAGTAAGGCCGCTTTCACAATAGCGGACGTACGTATGCGCGGATCAAGTATGGCCCACCCACTTCAATGCTTGTTGTGTAATTCACGCGGTATATCTATTGTCATTAACTAGGATTATGTGACCATATTTGACCAGCGGATCTGTTAGTCCGCTGTTGTGAATGCAGCCTTAGGCAATTATAGAGTACACAGAGAGCGCAGATCCCCGTGAAGACCAAATGTAAATAATTAGAAATTAACTGCTTTTATTCCAATGAACAATTCAATTGCTTATTTCCCTTCTGAAAAGCTGTCCTGAAAAATTCAAAAAAAAAAAAAAAAAAAAAAAAAAATCACATAATTGGCGGACGTATTCTATGGTTATTTCATAAGATAAAGTATTTGTCTACCTCATCTCTGGTGCAATATTCTCCTTCCACTTTGGTCGCCCTGCACTCGTTAACCACAAGGCTGTTATTCGCAGCGTGACAGTAGGTGTTGGGCGGAGAGCACTCGGAGTCCACGGAACATCCAGCACACCTGAAACATTATTTAACAGTTACTGATTGGTAAGTCTAGAGATACAGAGGAAATATGTTGTGAATATTTTTAATCATGTGCTTTATTTCTATTTTGACTAGTACTAAATCTATTTGACCAAGAGGCTTTTTTGTTCGCACCTAAAAAATTCAAAATGCATAACTTAATGTCCAAGGATGCACATTTAAATTAGCTCATTATGTAATAAATTGGCGTGAATGATTGCTAAGGCCGTTGGAATTTTTAAAAAATTATTTTAAAAACGTGAATAAAAATCAACGTTATACCATTTAGGGACATTGTGCATATAGCTAGCAACGTTAACGTTGACTGAACATACCTGAAGTCCAAACATCTTTCTTCTGTGCAGTCTGAAGAGTTTTTACACGGACTCCCTACATCTCCAACACACCCAGAAAAGGGCAGTTTCAGCAGGGCTGAATGGACCAACTTCTTGACGTCATCCTCAGTTGCTATTGTACGAGCCAAGATGGCGGACAAGCTCTGCGTGTTTGGCAAAAAATACTGCATCAGGTCTATTTCACCTGTGATCGGGTACTGCTGGGCGTTGGAGTTGAAATTACCGAATATGGTGGAGGTACCTGAAACAATTTTTTTACTTTTATATGACATGATTTATTTAGCGATTTATTGAATTTCAAATTAAGCATTCATTCATTCAGTTACATATTCTGAAATTTCAAGCATTAGGCATGTTCTGTTTAAAGTAAAGCACAAAAACGGCTTATTTTGTACCTCCGCCAAGGAGGTTATGTTTTGTTTCCGTTAGTTTGTCTGTCTGTCTGTCTATATGTCTGTCTGTTAGCAACATTACAGAAAAAGTTATGGACGGATTTTTTGGAACTGTAAGCAGTGGGCCAAGGAAGAGATTATTTTTGGTGGTGATCAGGATCATCAATAATCAATAATCAAATACTAAATCATTCTAGAATGAAAATATAGGAGAGGAATGAAACGGCATTGGGTGGAGACTTTACTGCCTTGGCGGAGGTCTGCGCTCTCGGAGTGCTTTTCTAATTTAAAAATGTGGCAGCGGTGGGATTCGAACCCACGCCTCCGAAGAGACTGGTGCCTTAAACCAGCGCCTTAGACCGCTCGGCCACGCTACCTCTTAGAATGATTTTGTCAGAATAATTTTTCTGCCCAAAATCCCCGAGCCTTGCGTGACGAAGATAATATTTCAGTTCACTCACAGAACATTAATAATTATAATTCTATTTAATAGAGCTATTGTTTCATTTTGATAAGAAATCCCAAAGGCAACTTCTTGCGACTGGTAAGAGACAAAAGATGTGAGAATTTTAAATTTTATTTTAAGTTATGTAAGTAGATAACTGAAACCCATGTTATTAGTAAATAGGACAGGTGATAAGTAGATGCGCCTTACACCTAGAACCCACCAAACCCTAGATTCTTCAAGTTAAAAAATAGAATAAAAATAACTGACTTAATAAATTACACAAATATACATAAAACTTAATTACATATGGTAAAATAAATACATAAATTGAGCAAATATTTTTTCTTTTCTAGTAGGTCTCTCTTGGCAGCGTCAGGGCAAAGACGTACGGGGGAAGGGGAGGTTTACATGCTACATGTCCCGTAATAATGTAGAACTTCGCCTTAAAAGTAATTAATATAACCTTTATTGCCGTAATTTAAACATGGGTTTGTCTATATTTTATGGAAAATATATACATGTTATACAAAAATAAAACATTTTGTCCATCTGCAACCCAAATGTTGCTCCAAAAGCTGCACGTACTGACATAAACAGCATATCTTGCATTTTTTTTCTTCTTACCTTTATGGCTCCAGCTTTCAATGAACCCATCCACGGCCGAGAGAATCGCGTGGCCAAATTGATGCGCGGCAGCACGGGCAAACACTTCTTTGGCGTTATCCAAGAACGCGTACATTCTCACTGTCATCGGGAGGTTGTCCGCATGCTGTGCCGTCACCGTAAGTCTCGGGGTGTCGTAGAACTTTATCACTACTGGTTTGGAGAGGAACGGAGTCACGTGAGTATGAACCTTGACTGACCAGGACTGGCCGCTGATGGTCACTGCTCTTGACCAGTACTTTTCGATACCCTCCCTGGCCAACTCGCAAAACTGCTCGAGGTAGCCTTCTGGCGGAGGGTGGAATGTGGCAGCGATGCAGTTCAAGCGCACGTGCACGTCTACATGTCTGCAACCTTCGTAGATGACGGCGTGGATCCAGTTCAGGTGACTATAACGCAAACCGAAGTCGCACGCAGCGACACTCCGTCTACGTCGCCTGCGCCCACTGTCACCGTCTGTGGGTGGATCAGTTGTAGATTCGGAGGTTGAGTCTTCTTGGTCAGATAACCTCCACCATGGATCAGCTGGATCAGGACTTGTTGTTGGATTTGGAGGGGGCGTTCCGGTATACTTATATGTCTCGTTGTCTATAGTTTTAGCGTGAATAATGTTGTCTAGTTCGATCACATCCGAAGCCAGTCGGGTGGCGACCGAATTAGCCGATCTTGACTGATCACAAAGAGGGTGCCAGTCAAAAAGGCTAGTCTCCGCCACCCCAAAAACCTTTTCAACCACACCTGCAAAGTCTTTATTGTTATCTGGTTTGGTGCTGTCTGAGAGTGTTAAAATACTGTCACTGAAATTTGGTATATGTTTCTCGAATTCCGTACAGAATGTCTGAATTGCCAAGTCCAAATTTTCGGGATTTGAAACCTGTCGTTTCGTTCTGGCGTGAGCACGTGTTTGGAACACTGTTTGAATTTCCCGTCTCTTGCGACCTCCGTCACTTGCATTTGCACAACTTTGGACAACGGCCAGGCATTCTGCCGCCGTTTCGTACACGTTAGGAAGTCCCCCGCACTGGTCATAGCTTATGCCCTTGCAAAGGCCAGTGTCTGGGTCCACGTAAAACAAGTCACCGTCCTCTGTTTTCGGACAGGCGTTCACGGCGTTCCGACTCGTGCACGGGCTCTCACACCACAGCTGACACTCGACCATCGACTCAAACAGGTTGCCACTCTGGTCGCACCCGTCCCATTCGAAATATTCACAGGCTTTCTTCACGGAGTTGTACCCGAAGCGGGCGATACCACCCTTGCATTTACGCACCGTGGGCACCCTCTCTGTGCATCTGTCGTTAGTTTTAACGCGGAGCTGTTGTGGGGTTGGAACAGGGGGGAACCGGTCCTGAAGATTCTGCGACAGACACTGGGTTAGATAGGTGTGGATTAGGAGACTGGTACGCGATGAGCTCTCGGCTTTCACATCGATGTCCTCCAGGCCCAGGTCAGCTGAAATACACCAGAGGAATGCCTTTAGTCGTTGTATTGGGTTGATATATTTACGAGCGCCCTTAATAGAGGCACCGGTCGTTAAAAATTTACTCATATTGTACGTTAAGCATCCCTGTTTATTAATGGCAATATGGTTCTCACCATTGTCTTAGACTAATGAGATTAAATGCAGGCAAGTATATCATCAAACAGCTACATTATTTTTGTGAAATACAAATTTCATACAAATTTTGTGTAGTAGAATTCAAAAGTCATCTATAGTCTGAATGGCCTAGTGTGTATACATTGTACGTTAATAAATAAATAAATAAATAAATAAATAAATAAATAAATAAATAAATAAATAAATAAATAAATAAATAAAAATTAGTTTTAAAATTCCTAATAAATCTGGGAAAAAGCCATAGAATTAGTTAGAGTACACAGACATTGCGTATGTCTACATCGCATCATTTTTGTTTTCATATGGTCTGTGAAAATTTTACAATATTTTCCACTCACAGCGTACAAAATAAGTTCTTCTGTCTTACCGTCAAAGCGAATGCCTCGCGTGACTTGAATCCAGATAATTAGTCCAATCAATAGAAGGACGTTTTTCACAGCCATTGGTAAAGTGATCGCTAATGTACGGCACACCTTTGGCTGGAATTTAAACCAATAGCGGATTAATCAACGGAATAAACGTGAATTTTTGGACCTAATATATATACTGTGCATCAATGTCGACGGCATAGAGCACCTGTGTTGGGCTTTAGTTTTCCTCAGAAAAATTGGGTGAGGGCGAGCGGTTAATGATATATGTACTGGTAAAGCACAAATAAAAATTTAGAAGGATGATTATTGAAGTTCGGCTAAACCATCCATTTTCAAATAATATATTTTCAAGTGGTGGCGGTCAGAAAAATTGTGCTGTAAGTTCAGCTCAATTGTTAGAGAAGATTGCTTTAACTCTAAATAGGCAATGCTTGGTAAGTAATATTTTTACACCAAGTTTTTACTAATTTAGAGTGAAATTATCATTTTGTTTCTTACCTTTTCTATGAATGTCTGTATTGAGCACCAAAGGTCTGCTGTTGCAGTTTTAGTTATAAAATAACGTCACGACAATTTCTTTTATAAGTCAGTATCTGAAGTATTTTTAACTTTCCGCCAATAAGAGCTCTCTCCTCCACGAGCAATTTTTAACGACCGTTTAATTTTCATTTTAATGGAATTAGTGCTGAACACACTAGTTTTCGGTTTACACATTTCACTTGAGGCTCAGGTCATTTTAATATCTGAAAAGCAGTTTAACGATTTTCGTTCCGTTTCGGTGAACTTAGATGCTGCCTCTCCCATTCGACGGCGTGGATTTTGTCAGCGAGAAACCATTCTCCCACCGCGACAGTGTCGTAAATGACAACAAAATACAAAACTGCCGTGGGAATTGTAATTTTAAAAAGAAAGGTTCTCCAAAAATTGTGCATTATGTTGAAATAATCATAAGGACATCTTAAAATCAAATTCGTGATTGCATTGAAAACAGCAGGGACTAATTATAACTTTACGATAGATGCTCTTTTTTCTTTTTAAATAATTTTTGACTTTCCGCTAACTGGGTCACAAAAAAGATACTAACTGATTTTTGGAAGACACTGTATCTTGGCAACTGAAGGGAAGCATTATGCTAATTGTGGAAAATGAAAATGAAGAAAGCAGGTAAAATCTGTCTCGGAAATGACACGCGCTTCGGAACGCTTACACCGTCTTTTACCATTTCCGTGCCCGCAACGAATTTCATTTTTACATGAAATAAAAAATTAAAATAAAAACCAGTATATACCAGTGAGTGATGAACATCGTTATGATGATATAACGTCATAAACAGGAAACGGGACCGCATTTTACTCGATTGTCTTGTACTGTAAGTACGGTTTGGTACCGTCATTTAATTTTCCATTTTAACTGCCATTTCCTGGTATTATCCTGGCGTAATCATCTCAACTGCACCCGACGACCTCTTATTATTACGAGGACCTACTTTTTTTCTTAGGCCCCATTCAGAATAGGGGACTAACTAGTCCGAGGGTCAAATATGGCGGTCCACTACAAAGCTTGCCGTCTTATCCGCTAATAGACACGGTGTAGGTATCCCGTGGGGAAGTATTCAAGTTGGTCGGCCATAATTGACCCTCGGACTAGTTAGTCCCCAATTCTGAATGAGGCCTTAGATTAAATTTCAAATTCTATTGAATCAAATTTATGAGAGGGTATCGTGTGTTCGTCTTATTAATTGACCTTTGCATATGTGTGAGACATTTTCTATTAGTTTTAAATTGTGAAAGCTTTAAATTTCATTGAATTTACGAAATTGTGTGTGAAAGTACTCTTAACATGTAGTTCGGCATAGGCAGACGTAAGTGCGACAAAGGCAGATGTGGGACCGACAAAGGCAAATGTAGGATCTGGCATACGGAAGTGTAAGTGCAACATATTCAGATATTGGTCCGACAAAGGCAAGTGTGGGATCGGCATAAGGAGGTGTCGGTGCACAGCAAAACTAACATCAACCAGCAATAAAGAAATATCTTTATTTCCAATGACTCATTAAGAACACGTAACAATAACTGTAGGCACTATGAAAGCGCTATCTGGCAAGTGTCTGGAATGCATCGAAATTAATTTTAATCACTGCGGAATCCATTATTCCCAATCTTTAAAACGTCCCTCTAATGTAATCTCTAGCCCTGTCTTCAGAAGATTCCTCTGCTCTATTTCTTACTCTATACCTAACTCCTAATCTCTGGCCTGTTTCTTGGCGAAATTTTATTTCCCTGGAAATGTGAGCACTTTTCCTTTAATCACCACGGCACACTGTGGATGTCTACCGTCGACAAAATTACGACATATAACCTTGCTTTTGTCTCCCAGGTATACAAATTTTGACTCACTCTTGTTATGAGGATGAAGACGGGTGAACATCAACTGAACTTCTAAAGGTAAAAATAGCAATTTAAAATTCAAAAAGGGGGTTCCAATTTAATTTTTTTCCCCTCAACTCTTTATATAGGATATAACTTGGTCATTATCGGAAAATACTAGACAATTTCAGAGAAATAAATTTTCTTGCTATATAAAGGTCTAACGAACGCCGTATTCCATCAGTAAATTAACACAAAAGCTGATGAAATACCAAATAATTCCTGAAACACTGGTAAGAAATAGACCTCTATTCATTCATCCATGGCACTGCCCCGATATGCGTCTCTATAATATCACTGACAAACGCTTCCGTAACATTCTGAAATGTCAGCTTCCATTTTATCGCCACACTTCGTATGGTTTACACGTATAAATGATGAGTTTACTGTCAGTTATAGACTAAAACAGACCAAAATTCTGTCTGGGGTAATATAGTACACGCATTCACAATAATGAAATAAAATGCATTTTCTTTTGAACATCTTACTTCATATTTATAGACCTACGAATTAACAATTAACATTAAATTCTAAAACCTTAATAATGAAAATCAGCTTGCTAAATGGGGAAATACCAAAAATGTAAATGCCTAATATTAAACACCAAACTTGGACCTTAAAAGCATTAACAAAACGTTCAAAAATGCACCTTCATGATAATTTCTATAAGAAATACAAATCATGAACAAAAATTATGTAAAGAGCATTAATAACCTATTCAAACTTGAAAATGCAATTGTTGAGAGTAAATGATTTACATAAGTATTGCAATAACTCACAGAGAAATAAAAGTTAAAAAGTAAAATGTGAAGTTTTAAAACCCATTTCTTCTAAGCTTTAAACATATGACCACATATTTCAAACTAATTAATGATTTGAAAGGTTTGTACACATATTAAGCATAGTGCAATGATAATTGCAACAGTTGAAATTATAAATACATAAATTCAAAGTTGAAAAAAGGACTTCAGATAAAAGAAAGAATTATTTTTAACTATTAAACTGTATCTCCTACTTGTTTCTGAGCCAAAACCATTTGTCAAATTGGATAAAGTAAATATTTTTTATAACTTAAAACATTAAGCAAATGGTTTAAACACTTTTATAGCTGCCCATGTTTATAACTCTTCATTTCACAAAGTTTTAAGTCTCAGCTGTTATCTTTCAGGATATATGAAAATTACTGTGAGAATCTACTTGGGATACAGTTATATGTCTACAGTTACAATTATAAGTGTATGTGTTGTCTGTAAATTGCAGATCTACATGTTGTCTGTATAATCCAAAAAATCTACCTGATCTTAGAATAGATGTTTGAGTCCCCATAACTGGGGCAATGATGAATTGGAAATTTTGATTCAGTTATGCAAAAACTCTGGTCAGGTAATACCCACTCAAGTTTTGAATAATGTGAAAAAAAAATGTTCCACAAAATATGTTTGTAATATACAATAATTCACACAATAGGATAATGTGCTATGTGGAGTCTGTCATCTCTTTTAATATTATCTTGTTTATATTTTCTCGTTTAAATAGCAACAGCTTGAACAAACAATCTCATTTCAGCAAATTTGAAATGTTGAAGAAAAAAATCCTTCTTTCACTCTCTTCAGATCCTCTCTTCTTCATGTGCGCTACAATAAAATCTCACTCCAAGCAATTGAAAATCATGCAAACTTTCATAGTCTTCAGATCTTTCTTTTGATTAGGTGGGGACTGGTGACAACAACTCACTGTATCGAGCAAACCTGTAGCGCTTGTAGCAGTAAGGAATGAGGCAAGCTATCAGGAATCCAGCCACCAGTGACCCAAGGATAGACAAGGCCAGAGCCAGGTAGGACACTGCAATGGACATGACAAGATACATGATCAGCATTCGATTTCATATAAATTTTATCAGTTCTGATTGTTCAGGGTACAAAGGGGGTTGCATCAGGTTTTCAGATGGAGAAACATTATATAAAATTAAAGTGCAATGCTTAAAGATAATAAGTCAATGAGGTAATAAGAGCAGTGACAAATTTTTAATAGCATCTTTTAGTTTACATCTTATATTGATGACAAGGTTACTCCTAATTCCTTTCCAATATCAATCCACCTACTTTCAAACCCCTTATTCACACGCATACACACAGAGAGAGAGAGAGAGAGAGAGGGGAGAGAGAGAGAGATTTCACACACCTGCTCCTGAGCTGAGAGTGCCAGGTTTGGCACAGCCTTTCTCGTCTGATCTGTCCTGACACTGGTAGATGCCGTCACACTTCCAGTCAGCATGAATACATTTACCATTGTCACACTGATCTGACAGGGGACATTCTGAAAGAGACATTTGAATGAGGGGTAGTGAGAATGTTATGACAGCCAAAAGACTGTTCACCTCTTTGATCACTGGAACATAAGTATATGGACTTACAATGTAAGGTAATATCAATATCTTACTATCTACTACATGCACTGACTAACACTGTAATTACAAATATCCAGATGAATCAAGGAAAAAAAATTCCAGAATATCTAATCACCAAAGGATAAGTGCATTTTGATTTTATCATTGTTTCTTTGCAAAATGATTCTTTTTTTTATTTCCAGAATATCTAATCACCAAAGGATAAGTGCATTTTGATTTTATCATTGTTACTTTGCAAAATGATTCTTTTTTTTTTAAAGTTTTTAGAACAACTTACCTTTTATTTTATAATCCATCCTGAAGGCAAATCCTGCTGGTACTTCTGGGCCACTTAAATGCTGATATCTGTACTTAATCCACAGTACATTACTAGTGGACAGGATAGATGGACTTTTGCCATTCTTGTAATTCATCTGGACCAGTGGAGACTGGGAGGAACCACCATCACGGATTTCAAACAGGTTTCTGCATACAGTATTCAATTATTGGTTAAGATGAATGTTTAGAAAAATAATCACAGTCATGACCTCAATTGAATGCTGTCTATTATCATTATGTGGACAGATTTTAATGTCCTGAGTATGTATGTATGTGTCTTAGGGGCTGTTGTATCCAGGATTTAGATAAGAGGGGTCAGGGGCACATACACAGAGATATTGCTGGTTTTGTCTTGTTATCCTTGGTATACCTTTTTTTGATCTTAGCTAAGACAAGTGTATAAGGCTACTGTACCCCCATCCTAGACCAGTCATTGCTCGAAAAAAAAAAAAAAAATAAATTACTGAAGAAAAAGATATCACTTAGATATTCAGAGTTGACTGTTACTCACCCAGTCGCATTCATAAAGTTATGAATCTCATAGTCAAAGGAGATGATGTTCACTGTGGAGTTCCCAGTTTTTGGAGGCAGAGTAACAATCCACACACATGTGGTATTCTTCGAGACTGGTTTTGGATAACCAGGTGTTGCAATTTCTGAGATCTTTGTTATATTTCCACCGCAATCTGAAATGGAGCATGATTATAATCCAGTAAAACTTTGAATCTTAAATTACTTTGTTTCACATAAAAAATATTTGTGTGAATGCAATGTCAAATGTTTATTTTAAGTCATATCTGTTATAGCAAAAATGTTCATTGGCTTGGTAGTTGGATCATATAGTAGTTATTATTTAGCACAGGCTGGGATTTTTCCTCACAGTTAGCCTACTGCAAACCTGGTCAGAGACTGACTGATGTGAGTACATGTTGTTACTCACAAGGTGACATTTATTGTACAGTCCTGGCTACAATACAACCCAGTGATTTGACTAGCCATTAATAAAGTTTATGTAATCTTCCCAATACTATCTGCATGGATTGAACTTGGGGGTTTAAAAATGACTGAGTATAAATTTACAATCCCCCCCCACCCAAAAAAAAACAGTTTGAAGTCAATACTCACCAATCAATTCATAAGAAACATTCACTCCTTGCTTTACTGATGTACTCTTACTCTTTGACAAAAACCACACCCACAACTCTTCTCCTGAACTGATCACATCATTGGGTATGACATCACCACTATATTGACCAATCGTATCAGGTTCGCTTCCATTGGTGCCGTTCTGATGTACGGCTCTCATGACCTTCACATAATGGGGAGTAGCCAGATGAAAGGTGTCAAAGCTGAGGTGGACAAGCTTTTCTTTCTGGTCAGTTAACTTAATGACCCACAGACACCAGGCATTGAGAGGATAGGAGTCAGGAAAGTTTGGACTGGTGAAAGTTCCACTTTTGCCATCTAAGACTGCATTACAGGCTAAGATAATAATAAAAATAATAAATTGATATATATTGTACTTGTCTGTTACTTGAAAATTAGACAATTTTGTTCATTATTAAATAATACTTTTCATTACAAATTTATTTGCCTAAAGTTGGTTAATAATTGCATTTATTTGTTAAGCCATGTAATATTTCTAACTATTTCATGTACTTGTTATTCCCATTTTTTGTGCGGCCCACAAAGCAAAGGCTTGGTATGACGAAAATTAATAGTACAAAGTAATAATACAAAGTACCTGGTGCAGTTCTGTAAGAGGCAGTAAAAAGGAGTTGTGGAGTAACAGAGGTGTCTTCATCTGTTGAATTCACACTTGAGTTGGTCGCCACCTGCATGTAATCTAACCTGAAAGATATACCAAGTAAGAGAATTTTTAAGAAGATCAGAAAAAAATCTCACACAACAATNTCATGTTAGCTTTAAGGTTTGGACCATATTCTTCCAGAGAAAAATTTTATCAAATTTACTAAATAAAAAGAAAACCTTCAACTAATTATTAAGTCAAGATAAAAAATCTTTTTATGTTTAACTAACTTTATATCTTATATTTAAGGGTCAAATACACATTTGTAATGTGGCCATAAAGGATTCCTTAGTTTTTCCAAAATATATTTTGGCATGGCAGTTATTTCTTAGAAAATCTGCAGGTCCTTCATTTAAACACAAAAAGATACGAAAACATAAATAACTTCAAATTAATGAAAAAATAATGATGACAATAATAATAATTATTATTATGAAATACGAAATATTATTTAAATCAATTTATTCTAAAACAAGAAGACCACTGATAGTATTATATTATCCTTACCTCCACTGTCAGGTATTGGGAGGATGAGCCAGGTGGCGTTCATAGAGGCGTTGGTGGCTGGTGCCTGAAGTTGATAAGTGTCATCAGCACTAGTGGAGTGTTTGTTGGTGCCTGAAACAAGTCAGTTGGAAAGCACCTTAACACAAATGACAGAAACAAGGATAAACATTAATTGAAAGATAAGATTTTATGAATTTATGTAGTTGAACAATAGATAATCTCACATTAAAAAATAAAAAATAGATTCTACCAAATATTCATTTTCTGCCAAAAAGCAAAATAGCTTGTCCATTTTCTCTTGTAATTTATTATAACAGGTTGAAAAACATTAACTGAAACACCAACACTTGAATGTAAAACTCTGGAAATTTTGAGGTTATGAGATCTAACAAATTTATAATGGATATATGTCTCCACTTCTCACCAGCAGGTGCAGAGGTGAAATTAGCCATCAAGAACTGCCGGGGCCCCTCAACATTCTGTATAACTACCAACAGATTTTGTCCACTTGAAAACACTGGATGGAACTCCACATGGGAACTATAAAAAAGCAAGGCAACTCTAGACATCAATCACTGCCTTTCATGTACTTTGCTTTCTATAATCCTGTTTTTTTTTTTTTTTGCTCACATTCATGCACATCAACCATTGTTGAGAAATTTTGGTCATAAGTCTACAGCTGAAAAAATCAAACTTTATTTCTTTTATGAATTAGATCAAGATTATAAATTTAATTTCAGTAAAACAAGAGGTAAAACCACTTTTGTATGATGCTAGCATCATAAAGTGAAAGTTTCTTTTTTAATAGTTTTTCTATCTTTACATTATTCTTTACCTAAAATTCCCTACCACAGGGTCAGTAGTCTGTGTGCCATCATGACAAATGATTGATGCAGCTGGGAAGAGATACTTTTCAGTAATCTTAAACACAACCTAAAATGATTAACAAAGAAGAAACTGCAAACAAATTTGCATCGATTATAGTTTTAAAATCTGCCCATGTTTTGTAATGTATCATACTATCTGCCAATAAATCTACAAATTAAAAGAATAGAGGGCCCACTGACAGGGAGAGTTCAAAACAGTGACCTTGAGGATAATGTAAAAAATTACTTAAAGTGACCTAATCTGATCATTGATGTAGTGGCTGGAGAGAGAGAAAGAGAGAGAGAGGAGCATTCAGCATTGTGAAAAACAGATACAATACTATCCAATACTATTACCTGTTTGCCTTCCTCTACTGAGAGCAAATAATAAATTGGGTTTGTTGTGTTGACAGTCATGGAGTAATTCTGTACTTTAATGTGGCCAGATCCCCTCAGGACACCTCCAACAGCTAAAACACAAAGAACATGCTAACAAATGAAGATAAACATATTTCTATATTACAGTGCACACATATTTTATTGTCACTTAATTGTACTAAAAAAAGTCTGCCGTGGGCTATATTGGCCTAGTTCTGCAAGATTAAGATTATTTTTAAGACTTAAGTCCTGCTTTACTGAATAGCAGGTTTAAAGATACATGTATGCCCTTGCAAATGTTACAGACAATTTAATTCCTTATTAGATTTGACTACCATTCAAATATTTGCTATGAGTTGATTTACGGTAATTCTCCAATCTATACGAACGCCNTGTGCCATCATGACAAATGATTGATGCAGCTGGGAAGAGATACTTTTCAGTAATCTTAAACACAACCTAAAATGATTAACAAAGAAGAAACTGCAAACAAATTTGCATCGATTATAGTTTTAAAATCTGCCCATGTTTTGTAATGTATCATACTATCTGCCAATAAATCTACAAATTAAAAGAATAGAGGGCCCACTGACAGGGAGAGTTCAAAACAGTGACCTTGAGGATAATGTAAAAAATTACTTAAAGTGACCTAATCTGATCATTGATGTAGTGGCTGGAGAGAGAGAAAGAGAGAGAGAGAGGAGCATTCAGCATTGTGAAAAACAGATACAATACTATCCAATACTATTACCTGTTTGCCTTCCTCTACTGAGAGCAAATAATAAATTGGGTTTGTTGTGTTGACAGTCATGGAGTAATTCTGTACTTTAATGTGGCCAGATCCCCTCAGGACACCTCCAACAGCTAAAACACAAAGAACATGCTAACAAATGAAGATAATCATATTTATATATTACAGTGCACACATATTTTATTGTCACTTAATTGTACTAAAAAAAGTCTGCCGTGGGCTATATTGGCCTAGTTCTGCAAGATTAAGATTAATTTTAAGACTTAAGTCCTGCTTTACTGAATAGCAGGTTTAAAGATACATGTATGCCCTTGCAAATGTTACAGACAATTTAATTCCTTATTAGATTTGACTACCATTCAAATATTTGCTATGAGTTGATTTATGAAAGTCTATATCATTTTTGAAATAATTCCTTTGATGATGACAATATTCCAACAATCAATTAGACTGAACATATGCCAGTGCTAATAAGTCACAAAAGGAATCCGCACAAAATATCCATAAATTTGCAGTTCTGCCAACATGCGGTTTACCTTGTGGTCTTACTGTAAAATGTACACCCCTGCCTGTTTGTGTTTCATCAGTTTTAAACATCATCCACAATTTTCCCGTACTGCTCACCAACACAGAACCTAGAAAAATTACAAATATAAATGGCAAATGGTTGTAATTAAACATCATCTAATCAGCAAGTTGTTTTAGTGAATAAGCAAAAATTAACCTTACGTGTCCAACTGAAAGAATGAATTTGAAGATTCTCTTAATCTGAAATGAATTCTAGTCTATTTTAGCTGGACCCCAGCTCTGAGATCACCAGCTGTTCAGTATTCTACTCAATGCCAGGAATAGGTGCATATATCTGTTTATCTGATTGCATTCTGCGAGATTCCCTGCAGAGTTGGATCAATCTACATTGAAAGATTGGGAATGAGCCCTAAAATTTTATCTACCACTACAAACCTGCTGTTGTTCCTCTCTTCCATGTTGTAAGTGTGGGGGAAAACCTTGAACCACCATCATTCACAACAATGGTGTCATAGTCATCACCTAGATCAAGACTATTCAATATCAAGGTCAATGAAAAGCGTTGTTTCATCGTGTCATTCAGGTAGACCATTCCTCTGCAGTCAAGATTGTTAGAGTAGTTTCCAAATGGTGGGATGAAAACTGGTGTTTCTTCACCAATTTCATAAATACCACTGCAACCTGAAAATTAAAATATAAATTATGAAGAATGCTATTCAGAAAACATTCAATTTAACTCATTGTAATAAGGATATATACTAAATTAATTTATGATCTTCCTACTTTTTCCTTTTCATCGGGCTGATTGGAAAATCCACCAGCAAAATATCAAAATTTAATTGAACAATTGACTCATTGGTACATACTAGAAAGTGAGCTTTTCGAGTCCCTTCAATAAAATGGATATCTTGCAAAAATAAATTATATAAATATATAAATATATATATATATATCGAAGCAGATGAGGTGCTTAAAACTAAACAGAAAATGCCATACTCACTCTGACTGACAGAGGCATAGCTTGCAACAAAGCCAGTCTGCTTCTGTGCAAGAGGGAGAGTTAGTTGAATGGTCATAGTATTGGCAAAGCTCATGATGTCGTCAGGCCTGCTAGACTGTCCTGGAGGAAATAACAATCTTTAAAATACCATAAACATGTTGATATCTAACTTAATTTTTTCTCAACTTGTGTATGTGTACTAAACACGGTGAAGGGATGCGACTTTAAAATATAACAATTTTTTTACTAGTAGTTAAGCATTTAAATGGAAGAAAAACGTTTTATATAATATAATCATTTAAAATTGTTTACAAGTAAAATATAGACATTTTTAGAAGAAAATTACGTCTTTTCTTTTGTAAATTTTAATGAGTAGTTTTCATGTCAAGTATGGAAAACCAACATCATTAACTCTAAAATTGTAATTCCAGCTGTGAAATTCTAAATTCTAAACCATTATCACCTGTCAAATTTTTCAGAAGATCATCAGAGCTACTTGACGCAGGACTCTTTTTCCCAAAAACCTCCATGGTCATCTTGGTGAAGTCAAAAACAGAGAATGATAAGAATGGAAAGCTAGCATTGTCTGTTTTTATGGTATACTGACAAGATACTGAACCACTATCAACTGGAACATATGGAGATCGTATGGTGGCTGCATCCCAGCTGACTGTCTGACTGCATTCTATACATGAAAATTAGAATGAAAATAATAAATAGTGTGAAATTTAGTACTACTAAGTTGTATAAAACATGGGTTACTTCATGTCTTCCTGAATCTTCACAAAATTATATTGTCTCTATTGAAACAGAGAGAAAAAAATTACACAATTACTCTACTGATTACAAAAATTAATTCAAACTTCAATACTTCCAACATAAATAGTTTCTTGACACACTGTTGATTCAGAGCTTCAGAATAGAAGATTGAAGTTTTTCATTCCATGTTGTGCACCCAAGAAGTGTAAAATAATACAACATTTAAAAAAATGCAATCCACAGTCATTCATTAATAATAACATCAAGTTTAAAACAATGCTAATTATCCAAAACTTGTTGTCTTACTTGTGGTTGAATAGGTCATCCCAAAATAGGAGGCTGAATTGCCGTTTAGAAACATGATGGTCGCATTCTCTGGCTTTGTTATTACAGCCAAAAATTCATCTGAATTACAACAACAGACAATATTAACAACTGGTAAATCAAGATTAATTTATATTGTCAATAGTAAACAAACTGATTCTTTATAAAGTTCAATTCTAAAAAAATAAATAAATAAATAAAATAAAAAAATTTTAAAAAAAAGGAAAAGATTTAAACTCAGTTAATTCTATTCTAGTCAGGAACTCATCTGAAATATCTCATATCAATTATAACAATAGACTTACACCTGAACCAGGAAGTCTCCAGTGAAATTTTTTACATATTCATCAGTACACCTGTGCATACAAGGCTTAAATAGGGAGGAACTATAGTAAGATAATACCAGCTGTAAATTTTCAATAAATACCATAAATTCAAATACTCCTGTGCCTGTACATGCCTGAACCCACTGTGTCATATATATATATATATATCAGAGATGATAAAAGAACCAAGATAATTCATTCACAAGAAAAGAAAAGACTTGCCTTGTGGGCCAGTGAGAGTAGCAATGGGTTTATTGTCTCCATTCAGAATTTGCAGAGTGGCACCAAGGCTGATTGAAAAAGTGTGCTTAAAATTGATATAAATGCTGGCATTTGAAGTCAGGTTGAATCTCCATGTACAGTTGATTCCAGGTTGAAATTTTGTTACTGGGATGCTACCAGTGGAGTTACTGAAAGTCGTCGTGCAAGCATCTGCTTCTGAAAAAATGCAAAACTTTTAAAACATCCTCTCTACTGTTATGATTCATCTGGTACATACACAATACCCAAGTACTTTATTGATATTAGACTGTAGGTAGTAACACTGAAGGGATTTAATTTTAGTGGTTTATCACTGTAAGGTAGACTAAATCTTTGCATAATGTTATCCATTTGCAGTGAAAATAGTCAATATGTACAAATGAAAAGAGAGAAAAAATCCAATGACAAAATATACAGTACTTGGTTACTCTAAATGTTTATTTTATTAATCTAAAAGGGGACCATACCTTCAGCATTTATCAATCTGGACGCACACAGTATCAGAAACACCACTAGAAAATAAAAATAAAACTATCAGCTGAATTAAAAAAAACACTGCCCGAGTTACATTTATCAATACATGTTTATTTATAACTTTGTTTTACTTCCTGTTAGTCATCTGGTATCGTTGTGCACACAGCTATTGTTCAAGCCTCACTAACTTCCAAAAGATGTTCACCTCCAGTAACTTCTGACAGGTCAAGGTTCAGTACTAGAAAGTCAAGTGACTATGAGTATTTCTTCAGTCAGGCTGAGGTCACACGTCTTAGCAAAAGGCAAATCCAGTCGCTGGAAGTTGGGGTAAAGCCACAGAAAAAACATGATGGATAGCATTTATTCTACGTTGAAGTCATCAGATTTGTCAGATTGTATCATACTTTACAGGGTTATGTGTAGATGACTTGGGTCAGGGAGATTGAGCCATTAACCTGGGTGATTTTCTTCATAGGCCCCTGTAATAAGACGCTGCTTACCTTGTTAACAAATAAAATCGCCCCTAACTTCCAATCGTTATTTGCATCTGAGAATCTTAAAGCAGATTCTTTGCTTACCTGGATGAGCCTTACATGATAGACACAATACAAGGCATAGAGTTATACCTGAAATATTATGAGTACGAGACAATACATGAGTAATTTTCACGTACAGCTCCGTGACGAATGTTGTATCTGGATTAAACCACGGCCTCTGATTGGCTACTACACTAGTGAGTAACAGGAGTGCAACAGACTGTGGAACGCACTTGTACATGACGTGCTTGTATGTCGAATACAGCACGACCCAGTCTTTTGTTCTACGTTGGTTTAAATTCATATCTCCTCAAAGAGAACATCCTCAGAAAGTTATTGATTTCATCAAGTATGGTGTCAATTGTATCAATGTATGCATGTTGATATTACACTGCTACAGTGTTAGAAATTAAGGCTGGACCGTCTGCCCGGGGCTGACAACTCTCAGAACAGGCTGAGAAGTTTTCCCACCCAGCAGACATTCAGTGCAGCTACTTTTCAAGATGGCTGGACTTTCGGTCCAGCAACTAATTTTCCTAAGAGGCAAACACTGCACTGCTAGTTAAAGTTATATGAACGTATGTACTGCTTTCCAGGATTTCATACCAGAAAATTGCATATTAATTAAACTGAGCTCACAAATATCATGTAGAGCTGCTAATATTTAAAATAAAATACTGGTAACACCATCTTCTCTTCGAAAGTCAGCAAGCAAGTGCTTATGCTCTCTTCTCAAGCTTGTATTAAAACACAGACCAAATAAAGCCATAAAGCCTTGATAACATTGCCCTCACCCGGCCCACTCCCTAGCACCAGGTGATTTACTCACTTTGGGGTGACCTTATAATAATAGTTATTGTAATAACCTCTCAGTGTTATGCATTTTACAGGTCTTCTTAATGTTCTACTGTACATTTGAAAAAAAAATTGCAATTTTGATTTCATCACCTCATATACTTAGGATACTTAGAGTTGGTGCACTTGTGTAAGCCATTGGCAGTTAAGGTCAATTTTTTGTAAGCAGTTGCACAGTGACTCATTACAAAAGGCCTGTAAAGAAAATCACACAGGTAAATGGCTCGATCAACCTCCCTGGCACAAGTGATGAAGCCCTGTAAAGTATGACATAATATGACAAAGTCTGACGACTCTCACATAAAAGTCAATGCCATCCACCTCGTTTTTTTCTGTAGAGTAACCCCAACTTCCACCATGGATTTGCCGGTTGCTTCTAAAGGCAAACGCAAAGTGCTCGGACGACCGACTGTAGAATATATAATTAGTCAATAATCACAAAATCTAAATCTGAGACCTTCCTGCAACAAAATTTCGCTCTTTATATCTTTGAATACTGAAAATTAAGATCAAATCATAAAGACACTTGTCAAGTGTGGAAAGGTACATATTAAAGTTGTTTACGTTACAGTCGACAGTAAAATTTCCCACCCACTTTCACTTCTTACCAGTTATCGATCTAAATTTTTCGTAGCCGGCCATGGTAACACAGATACACCAGACGTTGCAAAATATTCCTCAGATATGAAAAAAACTTGAATGCACTTGTCTGAAAACGATTGGTAAAATCAAACTCTCAAAAAGATCGACTTTGTGCGAAATATTTTCTTCACACTTCCTGTACTTTCACCCCTTGTCCACCATGTTGATATATGACGTCACCACTTTCACAGGTGCTCGTTTTTTGGTTCAGTAAAACTTTGCTGATTAAACACGTCTCTCGAATCGTTCGGCCGCAAATTACAAATTGTTGTCCTAAATTGATAAAGTGAACTACATTACCACGCAAAAGACAGAAATAGCCATAATCGTATCAAAATTAGGTCAAATATTTCTGTCAGCCAATCAAATGTCAACCCACTTGGTTCGAAATCTGTGTGATGAAAATGGAGGGTAAGGAGGCAAGGTTTTGTTGACATCCACTACTTTCACGATGACTGCTCTGCTTAGTTGCAGTTAAACTGCTTAATGACTTTGCCAACTCGAAAAAGCTCCGAAAACGCATTTGTTTGCACGCTTTATGGCTTAAAGTTTGGAGTTGGTATTGATTTATCATATTCCAAATTTGGTATTTATAACACAAAACAGTAAGTTACCATGTAAAAGAGAAAAATTCTGCAGCCTAAAATATGCACGATCAAGTGCATAGTATATTTATGTATATATGTTGGGTGTTTTGATGGAAAACAGACAGATAGATACGTGGTATTCCCTCTGTCACAGTTTTAATTTGTAAATTTTGCCCCCCCCCCCCCACACACACACACAAGCGCTGTTTGCAATGCACACATCTGGCATTCAACGCTGTAGTAATGCATCAATCAGCTTTCCATGTTGTATATCTGTTAGGTAGATGTGTTAAAAGTTCACTCAGTAGTTACAACACTAGAGATATATTTTGTTGATAATTAGAAATAGAAGCTAGATGTACATGCAATTATTAAATTGGTTCTTGCATGCTATTAATTATTATTTTATTACTTTTCAGGTATGCCAATAATGTAGAAAATAACAATGTCACATACGCCATTGAGAAAAGCAGTATCTAAGAGATTCCTGGAAACTTTCAGTGAATCTGACAGTGAAACCATGGATAAACCATCACCAAAGACTGTGAAATTTAGCGACCATGCAGTTGAGACTTCTTTTGGTGGAACACAAACCCTAGCCAAGCTGAAAGGCCCAGATGGGCAGAAATCTTCATCGTCTAAAAAGAAAACTGGAATAACTCCAAGTGAGTGGGGTTATAAACTTGACTTTTTTTTTTTGTAATTTTGTGAATTTGTGAGCTAAAAACACATACAATTAACTTGCCTGCAAGTTGGGTACAAGTACTAGTAGTTTTTTCTCTTTTTTATCTTTTTGCTAAAGGTTTCTCATATTAATTGAGATATGATATTACATGATTACCTGCTAAACATCCAGTCAGTCAAAGCACCTGAAAGTGTATGTATATTTAATTTTCTAGTACTCAGTAGATGGTCTCATTCAATTTTGTATTCTAAAGTCCATGCCTTGTATGCTTGCCACTGGTTAATTTGTGCATATTTTGTCTCATAAGCACGCACCTCTACGAGCAGTCTTCCATCCACCCTGGCCCCCCAAGGGACTGGCAGGGGTCCATTACCAACTACAGCATTTTTGAAAACATCGCGGTCACGCAGCTCCTTTGACTCAGCCACGGAGTCTACTTCTCAAAAAGTGCTGACACCTACCAAGAAGACATCTTTGCCAGAGACCTTCAAGACTCCACTGAGAAGAATAACTTTAGAGAATAGAGCTGTTGGAACTCCAGATGTTCTTATGAGCTCAAGGTAAAGAGACTTTAATCCCAGGATTCATATATGTATTGTATATAATTTGAGTATTATATTTTTGCTGGTGGGGGAAAGAGCTGCTCTCTATCCTGTTGAGGTGTTTATCCTGCTATTTAATACATAACATGTTTTTTTAGATCTTTTTCTATTTATCTTAAAGCCAATTTCTATTAATTTGAATAGTGTAACAAAACTGAAATTCTTTTTTTTTTTCTAAAAAAAAAATAACCACTGTTCTTTTTCTGCCTTTTCAATTAGAATATATGAAAAGAATATTCTCATATAGAAAAAAATCAGTAGAATATATGAAAAGAATATTCTTATATAGAAAAAAATCAGTAACCACTCACAAAAGAAAAATAAATAAAAAGTTGAGGACCATTTTCAGGAAGGATGACCTGCAGGTACCTGCCACAAAGTTACCCCGTAGATCCAGCCTGTCTGCCCTAGAGAACTCTGGGGAGGATAGCTGTGGGGTCACTGTGGCCGTCAGGGTGAGGCCATTTAATGCCAGGTGAGTCTGAGATTACACATAATATTAAGATTGCGTAGTATATTGGGAAGTTTAAGCCCTGGTGTTAGAATTTTGATTAAAGTCTCTTTTCCCTTGAATATTAGTGAGAAATTGTTAAAAGTGACTTGAAATTTTCATGCTTGTAACTAAAGAAGAAAAATTGAAAGAGAGATAGAAGGAAAAATGAAATTATTACCCTTATAAGTTTTTACGAAAAGTTTTTGTTGCAAGTTTTGAAATTTTAGTGTAGATGTTTCATTTGATTGCCACAAAAAAAAAAAAAAAAAAACTGTGAAGTAGTAAAGATTTAAATTTTGAAATCTTGCCAGATCTATTAATAATTACTGATGAGAAATAATTTAATACACACCTAAGAATAAAAAGAATGACTTAGAAATTTTGTTAATAATATGTAAGACCTTTAATCATTAAAGAATTATTTAGATGATTTGTTATGTTTGCTATGTAAATGATTATAATTTATGGCCCATACCTGAAAATAAGCATAATTATTATTACTATCAGTTATTATTGTCTTGCATATTTCTGAAATACACTTGTCAGAATATCAAGTACCCACAGCTGCACTGTGGACACCTTGACTTTGCAACTATTGATTGGTCTGAGCCAAAAGGAGAAACCAGGTTAAACAGCTACTATTGTGCTTACATGCTATATTGTGTACCAACCTTTGGTCACACTGGCATTGATTTTATTCTGGATACAGACCAAACTCTTCTCTTTACAAGTCTGTTTATACACCAGAAGGGCAATTGTTATTGATATTTCTACCTTGATTTTTTTTTTTAGTTTCGCTTTGACTGAATGGTATTTCAGTTTTTACACATCTGATTCAATAAAATATTAATGAGAAGGTTACAAGTAGACTTTTGAACATTCATTTTGAAGGCAAATCTGATGAAACAAAAGTAAAGCTTAAATCAAAGTTTGATTATAAACCAAACTCAAAAACTAGTTAGAATGTGATTTAGAGTTTTAAGCTATGGATTTTTTGTTTACAAGGAAATCATCAGCTACAAGCTGCTTATGGAGGATTGGGCAATGACTTGAATCAATTAATTATGTTTAGATAAGATATTTTGCTGTAAGTTTTAGTTTTTAAAATTTTATTAGAATAATGAAATCAAGAGAATAGTAAATCCTTCTGTTCTTGCAGTATGAAGCTGATCTTTTCTGAAGCAATTAAGATATATGTTTTCAGAGAACTTAAAAACAAGGTATATGAAAAAAACTTTCTCTCACCAATTTTGCAAAGAGTTGACCAACGTTACCAACTTTTCTTTATTGGTCATTTTCAGAGAACTTGCAGATGATAAGGTACGATGTGTAGTCAAAATGGACGAAAACGAGACCATAGTGACCCAGGAGAACGGTCAGGTCAACAATTTCACATACGACTTCTCATTCTGGTCCTTTGACCAAATTCAGGGAGAGTTTGCCAGTCAGGAGTACATATACAATGTCCTGGCCCAGCCCCTGCTGGGGAAGGCATTGGAGGGGTACAACACGTGCCTGTTTGCATACGGACAGACTGGCAGTGGAAAAAGCTACAGGTTTGTTTATTTCATGTGAAAGAGGGATTTTTTGATAAAAACTCCCAATAATATCTTTTATTATTAGACAAAAGGATTAAGTTGGGACTTAAGATAAAATTCAGTTTTCTTTTTTTTTTTTTTTCGTTGATATTTAAATTTACATTTTTTTAAAGTTTTTGATAAAACTGGTTGTTGTGACATAGCTGAATTGTTTATTTTAAGTATTGTTTTCTGAAGAAAAAGATACAGGATGATCAATTGTATAAGACATAATGTAAATAAAAATGAACTTTTTAGATTGGTCTTTAAATTTATTAATAATTATTTTATTTCATAGCATCATGGGCCATGGTGAAGACATTGGAATCATCCCAAGATTTAGTGAAGAACTCTTTGTCAGAATGCAGGATATGAAAGAAGTAAGTATATTATACTCTTTCAATGTTAAATAGCATTTATTGTTAACACATTAATTGTAGTACTATATTCACCTGCCTTATGTTGAATTGTATACACCTTGCGGAAAGTAGACACAAACAGAATCATTTTAAATGTAAGATAAACCTATTTAGAGAAACCATAACATGCATTTTGCTGCACTCTATTTATAATGCCTTAGAAAAATAAGCTTTTCCATCTTAAATAGTCTGGTTAAATATGTAATGCAGCTTGCTGTTTGGTGTGAAAATAAAAAAGATAAAAGACAAGGTGTTGCAATAAGCTGATTGTGTTCAGTGTAACTGGATCCTAGTGGGTATTTGGAATCGGGTCAGCTTTGCATAAAATGAGTTTGGGTGTTGTTCAGAATGATGGGAAGTTTTCCATCTTGAATGTGGTGTAAGTGTTTCAAATTAATTGTGAAATACAAAAATGAGTAACATGTCGTGATATTTAATTTTTATTTCTTCAAAAGTTCCAAGGTTTTATGTTTTCTTTTTGTGTAAGAATTGTGGCTGTCATGTTTATAGGGTTTAAAAGTGCCTAGCTAGATACTGAGTGAGATTTCTTGTCTAATTAGGTCAGCGTGAATGTGGAAATTGGTTTCTATGAGATCTACAACGAAAGAATTCATGATCTTCTGACGTCACAAACTACCAAGGACATGGGAGAGAAAAGACCTGGTGTAAGTATGCATGTCATGGAATGAAAGTTAAGTGAATTCTTTGTACTCATTCGTTTTTAATTAGACATGATGGTCATTTTCTTCTGTAAACTGCATCCACATTTGCAATTTGCAGCATATTACAGGTCCCTATTTTACATAGTTTGAACTTTGTTACTTGTATTTGCAGGAGAAAAATATAACGTTGAGAAATAAAATGCCTGTGAGTGGAGAAACACAGCGGAGCATCCGATTCATGCTTTATTTGTATTATTGTGTACTGTTAAAATTGTATTTGATTTTGATAATATCAACTATGTTTATAACACACTTATTGCTAATTTATCATATTTTGTGTTAATTTAAAATATGTTTCTATCAGCAAAAGGATTTGAAGATTAACATAGAGGAGATCTTGTTCAGTTGTTGCTTTTGTTTGTCAAGCACTGTTGAAAATTGTGTTGAGGTTTTTCATTGTTTAAGGTTTATGTATTGTAGATTTTTTATATGTGGTAATTCATAAAAAGGGAAATTTTTGCATTTGTATGTAATATTAGTGTTAAATTATGGTTAAAATCCTGTAAAACATGTATAATATATGTCACTAGATAATAACAATACAAAAATATGGATGTGAATGTTCAACCTGGATGTCTGAAAAAACCTGGGAATTTTTAATAAGTTTGGACCAGTAATGTATCTTTGGTAATGTATGTTTTGATTTTTAAAAATTGTTTCAAATTTTTCACTGTGAAAGACATTAATTTGATATTTTTCTTTACTGTATCAATTTCAGTTGAAAGTTAGAGAACACCCTGTGTTAGGTCCTTATGTGGAGGGCCTCTCATCTCACGTGGTCAACTCCTATGAAGATATACAGGTAAGATTTATTATTGAAAATATTATTTTGTGACCTGGTAGAACAAATTAAGCTAAATTTGTTGTTTTTACCATCTCGCCCCTTTTTGTGTGGCAAGGGGAGGGGAGAATGGTTATATCAGCATAAGATTGTACTTCCCATCTTTCCATCCATTTGCATTTTTGAAAAAGAGACAGACTGGTGTTGGTATCTATTTTTTCACAAGAAGAATCCTGACATAATGGATCCTAGATGGAGAAATGGTCTAAATAATATATGCAGCATTTTTTTCACAAAGAAACATTTGTTCTACAAATCATCTGAATATGTGTTCACAGGGCTGGATTAACCTTGGCAACAAGCAGAGAGCCACTGCTGCCACGGGGATGAACGACAAGAGCAGCAGGTCTCATTCTGTGTTCACCATTGTCATGACACAAACCAGGGTGAGTATCAGAATAATGACATATTAATGCACTTTGCAATGCTGGCCACTTGTGTAGGGCAATTAAACCAGAGTAGGTTTGGTGTCAGACTAGTTTTTGAAAGGATTAGTTTTTAATTGTCATGTCTCATTAGTGGAAATTGAAGTAGTTGAAGTGTAGACTTATGATGTGGTGTTAGAAAGAGTATTTTGCCTGTCATATGTCTTCTTTATATAGACCACTGACCTTTTAAAATGATTATGATAAAGGTTTTCTTATCCAATAGTAGGCAGTAGGCAAGATATCATCTGGTATGTCTCAAGATGTCATTTGAAGCAAAGGTTTAAAATTTTCAGCAGGAGAGACATTTTTAATTAGTTTATAAATTAAACTGTTGAAAATGTTGGGTTTACTGTTTTGTTTTGTATTAACTGCAGCATAATTTATTATTATTATTTTCTTTTTAGAGTGATACATTGGATGGTGAAGTCCATGAACACTCAACTACAAGTAAAATCAACCTGATAGACTTAGCTGGCAGTGAGAGACAGACTACAGCTAACACATCTGGAGACAGGCTGAGAGTAAGTAGCAAAGGGCTGTTGCACAAAAGCTCTTAACTTCTTGGGTTAAGTGACTAAACATAGGCTACTAAAAACGGATAGCTGATTATGTAGAATCAACTGCATTATTTATAATAAGAGCTTTTGGGAATGATGGGTCCATATTAATTGTACTTGACATATCCAAATGGGCTGCTATCACCACCTTGAGCAAAAGTCGTCATCAAGAAAGCACCACTTCATTAAAAGACTGATAAAAGGAGTAAAGCAACCTCTAGGTTCTTTGTGGACTACGAGTACTTCTCAGTAGTCTTAGGTTTGAGCACAAAAAATTACTGAATCTTAACTACATTTCATCTATGTGCTTTATTTCTAGGAAGGTGCAAACATCAACCGCTCACTGCATGCCCTGGGGAAGGTGATCTCCCTGTTGTCAGAGCAGTCTATGAGTTCCAAGAAGAAGAAAACACTGTTCATACCTTACAGGGACTCTGTGCTGACATGGTAGGTCCATTGAGATCACATTGTGACACCCTGGACCTGTTGAACAAGACGTCAGAAGTTTTTGGACTGTTTTAAGACTACTTTGTAATTGGCATAATGAAGTTGGTCTTAAAGAATCTTGTGAATTCAGGGGTTGTGGTCATGGCAAAGGCAATGAAGAAATCAATGAGTGGAGATATTAGATCAACAGTTGTTGTTAATAAAAAAAATACAATGTTACTGCAAGCCTGATTGTATTGAAATAGATGATGGGAGGGGAAGGCTGGTTATCGTGATTGTTTTTTATCTGGTAAATTCCATCATTTAATTTATTTAGCTCATCAATTACATAGTGGAGAAATGAGAGTAAAGGTTACTTTCAGGTCACTCCAATAACAAGAATCCTCCATTTTCCACTTGGGGGGAAAAGCATCATGTTTTTGATTTTCTTTATATATAATTTCAAATAATCAGAAAGTCTTGCCACTATTTCAGGATGTTGAAGGAGAGCCTTGGTGGTAACTCTCAGACCGCCATGATAGCCACTATAAGCCCCACCAACTATTACGTAGAGGAGACACTGAGCACACTGCGCTATGCCAAGCAGGCCAGGAATATTGTCAATGTTGTCAAGGTCAATGAGGATCCTAAAGCAAGAATTATAAGAGGTTGGTATTAATTCTCATGATCTGTGTGTTGTTGTTGTTGGTGGTGGTGGTGTTGGTAGGGAGAGTATGACTGGGCATATCCTTGATATACTAGTAAATATAATATTAATAGTAAATATAAGAAACATAAATAAGTTTGCATTTTATTGTGACAGTTTAGATTGAAATCCAGGCAGGTATGAGTAATTTTGCATAGGGGTATTCAAACTGCCTGGATTTTCATCACTGTGAAATGTACAATTGCCATGACAAATGAAATAATATTTTATTTGTATATGAATATTTATTTTATGCAATGTCTTCCTGTAATAAGATATTTGTCACATAGATGTTTTAAAAGTTTCATCAGTTTGGTGAAATATAGAAGCAAAAATACTATTTGATTGAAATATCTCATGTGAGTAATTTTTCGGCAGTTTGTGACAAAAGGGTATTATTACTATAAAGATATTTGTAACTTGAAAAAAAATTAATTGTTTGTTCAGAATTGAGAGCAGAGATTGAGAAGCTACGTGCCAAGACAGGAGTGATGGGAGAGGAGGTGGTAGATGCCAGCCTGGCAGAGGTAGCTGCACTGAAGGAACAACTGGTCATTAAGGAAAAAGAGATGGCAGAGGCTACAAAGTTCGTATTCACCAGGTTCATGCTTCTGCTAATTTTTTCAGCAGTTGCTTACGATGACTTTATTTTACTTTCAATTAAGTTGTATTATGTCACATTTTATTATGTTTCGCTACTGCTTTCTTGGTAGTTGGAAAAGGCTAGATTTGTAGTTGAAGAATTCATACTGCATTATAGCTTTGTTTCAGTAATATTTGTTTTGTCTTTGTACTTGCAGGTCTTGGCAGGAAAGGTTAAAGAGGTCTGAAGAGAAAAAGCTAGAGGAATCCAGACTGCTGGAGGTATGGTTGATATCTGATTATATTTTAGGATTTCAGTTGAGTCTTCATAATTTCAAAATAGATCTTTAACTGCAATGGGGTTGTGATGATTAAGTTGTCAGGTTTTGAAAGAAATAATCAATCAGCACTCTTTTTTGGTCGGTGTTATGTCATAAAAACAGTTTTGAAATGGCAATTCATGGAGAGTTGGTGAGTTTTTCCAAAATGATGGTAAAATCTCTCTTAAAGTCATGCACTGTTTATTTATAGAAATCTGGTGTGGCATTGAAAATAGACAACAGCATGCCTAACCTTGTTAACCTGAGCGAGGATGCGCAGCTGTCTGAACTGCTGCTCTATGTCATTAAGGAAGGTCAGACCAAGGTGGGGCGACAGAAGGAGAAGTCTAAGCATGACATTCAACTCCAGGGGGCGCTGATAGCAGATGATCACTGGTAATTTATTAACTGTTTGATAGCCTAAGTTCCCCTCGACCTCGATAATGCAATTTCTCTCTATATGAAAATCTTATTCTAGACTTTGCAAAATAAGACTTTTTTTTTAATGAACCTTCTTTAATTCTCATGCCAATCCTTAAAAACAGTAAGATACAAACAAAAGAAGAAGAAACGGGAATACAACATCTTTGATATAACACTATATAATCATATATGATCATTATGTTCAGTCATTTGAATAGTTGAAGAAAAACAATGGAAGTCAAAATGAATAGTCACACTATTTCTAAATTCAGTCATCTTGATATGATTCAGTATTAGAAGTCTTCTGGGTATAGATTAATAGAAGATTTTATTTGTTGCTAAATCACAGTTTGTTTGTTACTTTCAGCACCATCAATAACGTGGAGTCTGTTATCAGCATCACTCCACATCAGGATGCCCAGACATTTGTCAATGGTGAATTAATAACGGGTCCGACCATTCTCCACCATGGGGATAGGGTTATCATGGGGGATCACTACTTCAGGTTGGTATGAAGATGGCTGTGGTTTAATTTACATATTGTACCACCAGTGCNCATTTAATTTATTTAGCTCATCAATTACATAGTGGAGAAATGAGAGTAAAGGTTACTTTCAGGTCACTCCGATAACAAGAATCCTCCATTTCCCACTTGGAGGGGAAAAGCATCATGTTTTTGATTTTCTTTATATATAATTTTAAATAATCGGAAAGTCTTGCCACTATTTCAGGATGTTGAAGGAGAGCCTGGGTGGTAACTCTCAGACTGCCATGATAGCCACTATAAGCCCTACCAATTACTATGTGGAGGAGACACTGAGCACACTGCGCTATGCCAAGCAGGCCAGGAACATTGTCAATGTTGTCAAGGTCAATGAGGATCCCAAAGCAAGAATTATAAGAGGTTGGTATTAATTCTCATGATCTGTGTGTGTTGTTGTTGGTGGTGGTGGTGGTGGTGTTGGTGTTGGTAGGGAGAGTATGACTGGGCATATCTTTGGTATAAATTTGCATTTTATTGTGACACTTTAGATTTTGGTTAATGTTACATAACGATTAAGATTGAAATCCAGGCAGGTATGAGTAATTTTGCATAGGGGTATTCAAACTGCCTGGATTTTCATCACAGTGAAATGTACAATTGCCATGACAAATGAAATAATATTTTATTTGTATATAAATATTTATTTTATGCAATGTCTTCCTGTAATAAGATATTTGTCACGTAGAAGTTTTAAAAGTTTCATCAGTTTGGTGAAATATACTCTTTGATTGAAATATCTTGTGAGTAATTTGTGCAGTTCATGGCAAAAGAGTATTATTACTATAAAGATATTTGTAACTTGAAAAAAAATTAATTGTTTGTTCAGAATTGAGAGCAGAGATTGAGAAGCTGCGTGCCAAGACGGGTGTGATGGGGGAGGAGGTGGTGGATGCCAGCCTGGCAGAGGTAGCTGCACTGAAGGAACAACTGGCCATTAAGGAAAAAGAGATGGCAGAGGCTACAAAGTTAGTATTTACCAGGTTCATGCTACTGCCAAGTTTTTTCAGCAATTACTTTAGATGACTTTAGTTGGTTGAACAAAAATTTTACTTTGGGTTAATTTGTGTCACATTTTAGATGACTTTATGTATTTGCTTTTGCTTTCTTGATATTTGGAAAAGGCATAAGTTATAGTAACTTGAGTTCATACTGTATTATAGCTGTGGTTTAGTAATATTTGTGTTTGGAATTGCAGGTCTTGGCAGGAAAGGTTAAAGAGGTCTGAAGAGAAGAAGCTAGAGGAATCCAGACTGCTGGAGGTATGGTTGATATCTGATTATATTTCAGGATTTCAGTTGAGTCTGCATAATTTTAAGATATATCTTTAACTGCAATAGAATTGTGATAATTAAGTTGTCAAGTTGTGAAAGAAATTCTCGGTCAGCACTCTTTTTTGGTCGGTGTTATGTCATAAAACCAGTTTTGAAATGGCAATTCATGGAGTGTTGGTGAATTTTTCCTAAATGATGGTAAAATTGCTCTTAAAGCCATGCACTGTTTATTTATAGAAATCTGGTGTGGCATTGAAAATAGACAACAGCATGCCTAACCTTGTTAACCTGAGCGAGGATGCGCAGCTGTCTGAACTGCTGCTCTATGTCATAAAGGAAGGTCAGACCAAGGTGGGGAGACAAAAGGAGAGGTCTAAGCATGACATTCAACTCCAGGGGGCGCTGATAGCAGATGATCACTGGTAATTGACTGATTGTTTGATAACCTTAGCTCCTCTCGTCCTCAATAATGCAATTTCTCTCTATATGAAAATCTTTTTTTCTTATTCTAGACTTTGCAAAATAAGACTTGTTTTTTTTTTAAAATGATCCTTCTTTAATTCTCATGCCAAGCCTTAAAAACAGTAAGATACAAACAAAAGAAGAAGAAACGGGAATGCAACATCTTTGATATAACACTATATAATCATACATGATCATTATGCTCAGTCATTTGAATAGTTGAAGAAAAACAATGGAAGTCAAAATGAATGGTCACACTATTTCTAAATTCAGTCATCTTGATATGATACAGGATTAGAAGTATTCTGGGTGTAGATTAATAGAAGATTTTTTTCTAAATCACAGTTTGTTTGTTACCTTCAGCACCATCAATAACGTGGAGTCTGTTATCAGCATCACTCCACATCAGGATGCTCAGACATTTGTCAATGGTGAATTAATAACGGGTCCGACCATTCTCCACCATGGGGATAGAGTTATCATGGGGGATCACTACTTCAGGTTGGTGTAAAGTTGGCTGTGGTTTAATTTACGTATTGTGCCACCAGTTCCAGCACTGGCAGTACACATGGTTTTAGTCCAGACCCGTCCTGTCTGCTAGTGCATAGTTGAAAAAATATAAAATTTTATTCAAAAGATTACAGAATTTCACTGTTTCTGTTTTTGAAATTATCGGGACATTGATGTTTCATTGTTACAGTTTGCTTTTGTGTTCAATAAAATTTCTCAAACAAAATTTTTGTGTCTACAGATTCAACCACCCCCTAGAAGTCCAGAGAGGAAGAAAAACTGCCACCTCTGGACAAATACGAGATTTTGAATTTGCCCGACAGGAGTTGATAAAAGTTCAGAATGCAAGGTAGGTTATACTGGTGTGGTTTTAAGAGGTGAGAGAGATGATGTGGAAGCTTTGTTAGTTTTAATGTATTGGCAACAAAAACATTCTCTTTCTTCCCCATCCTTCCCTCAAACAAAATAGTCCATTTAAAATGCACAGTGAATGGTGACAGAAGAAAGAATATTCCAATTCTGCCATACCTGTGCAAGGTGTGGTTTCGTCACATCATGCTGGCATATTTTTACCTCCAGTGCCTTATTTATTATGCCATTAATCAGCTATCGATCCATTAATCTTACTACCTTTTAATCAGACAGCTGATTCTGTGTATAAACGTGCATAAACAATGGCTTGTATTGGAACAGTGGTGAAAATTATTGATTTCCTTCCGTAATGACATCAAAGTATTATAGTGACATAGAAGGATCTTGTATGAAACCAGAGACCACATGAAGAGTGCCTTTACCAAAATAAATAAAAAAATATAAAAAAAAGTAAAATAAATAAATCATAGATAAATAACAAATCTTTGAAAAATATTAAAAGACCCAATTTTAGTTAAATTTTCAATTACTTATTTCCCTCTTAATCAATTATATATCCTGTAAATATCTTGTTGGCAAAGATAATGATTTAAATTGGTTGGCATTCATTATGTTTTGATATAACTCCATTTCGGATGCAGCAATTACATGCTTCTTGGGAATAATGAAAAACTTCTAATCTGGTGAAGTTCAGTTTTCTTTCTTACTGTGATTATCAGGCATGTAATGCTCTGCACAAGACCTGTAAACTCATTCACTGAAAAAGTTGTCTTGTTAGATACTAAACTATTGGTCCAGGAGTAAAAATAGCTTTAAATTTAGATGTATAAAAAAACTATTATTAATATTATATTTATACTGTTGTTACAAAATAAGGCTACTTACCATTGTATTTCACCTTGTGTTTTAAGAAAATGTTGATCAGGTTTATATAATAAGGCAGAATTATGAAGAATTATCTGTTTTTCTCTGTAAAAGGTTAAAAAAATCAATGTTGACTAGGTCATTAACGTTTGTGATTGTTACTTCAAGTAATCAATTTGTCAGAAGTAAATAATATGTCTACAAGCACCCAATCTATTATGAATATGGTTTATTAATGATCGTATTGTCCAATTCTCATTAAAAATTCGACAAACAAATAAAAATCATGCATGTCTAATTTAACACATTTGATTTGCAAGATTACATCTGGTTATATCAATATGAACTATTGATTGACATATTGGTTAATCTCCCTTAGCCATATCATAGCAGGCTTTTTTTCATTACAAGCCCAGTTTATTATTGGATGAAGTATTTTATAACAGATGCCTGAAAAGTCTTTCCATGCTTGTAACAGGCTGAAGCTTGGAGCAGTTTTGGCAACTTGTTGTTTGCCAGTTAATGCATGTTGTAACCTATTCCTGTAAGTGGATATGCCAAGGAGAGCTTAATACATTGAAAATGGTCAACAGTGAAAATAGACGAGACATATTTTTAATGGTTTGAGCACTCATATTGCTTTCAACAGAGACGGCAAAAAAGAACATGAAACTGAGGAGAAGTAGGAGTGCGTCAGATATTTTCAAATCGCTCATAGGAGGGAAAGATGAGCCAGTATCAAGAACAAGTTGTCAGGGTAACAAGAGAAAGGGAGCGGGATTTCTTCAGTGGGTTCCAAGAAAAAGACAGTCTTGCTGTCAGAGTTCTGAGAATCTGGATGAAGGCAACGCTAAAGTTATTGTTAAACAAACCCTTGCAGATGAAGTGGCAGAAATCGAGAATCGTAACCAGGAAAATGAAGGAATGCTAAAGCAAAGAAAGCAACGGGTTAGATATTGTGGAGTGGCATCAAGGGAGTGACAGAATTAATGATGAAGTTATTAATTTTGTGAGTGATATCTGGGAACCTGAAGCTGAATTGTGCTGTTGCCAGGCAAAAGAAAATTTGTTGATTTTGAGATCAAATAGTTCTGGAAAGATGTGTGCGTGTACTAATCAGGTGAAACGAAGTTGGTCATTTAAGGAGGGAACATGTGGCATTGGCATTTTTCCTTCCATGGGAATAGAACAGTTAGAAAGGAAGACTTACCAGTCAGAGGAGGGCAGATCTAACCAGGACAGTCCAACTCAAGTTTTATTTTCAGGTGACAGTTCACCTGAAAAAAAAATTGGTGAACGTTGCAGTGACTTTAATACTGCAAAATGTGTTCGTGATGAGGAAAAAGATTTAGAAGTGGAACAAATATCATCAAAATATTCTCACTGCTTCATGAAATCTTTGTCCTTTCCTGGAGAACTCCCTGCAGTTGATACACCTAACTCTCCTTTATTAATTAATCAGAAACAACCCCGGAAATTGAAAAACGGGGAAACGGATTTAATCAGTTGTGTAGCAGGTAAAAACATATTGGAAATAAAAGCTGTAACACAAAAAGGCAATAACAGCAAGCTTGTTAACGGTGAAGTAAAGGAGGATTGCCTGACAGTGTCTAAATTGGAAAAACAGAAATTCAAATTGGCCAATGGCCACCAGCTTGGTGCCAGTAGTCCTAAATGTGTGTCCAAAGATTCATTTTATTTAGAGTCAGATAGAGGGGAAGACGTTCCTGTTATTCAGATGAAAAAGAGAAATTGTCCAGACAGTCCCTCTTTAGACATGGATGATGACCTAGATTTACCCCCACTTATTTTATCAGATGGAGAAGATGCATTGAACAACTATCTTCATGGCAAAGGTACAGTTAACTACTTTACTGGATTAGGAGATGGTAATGAGAATCCTGAGTGGTGTAACAAGAACAAAGGTAAAATTTCAACCAGACGACCAAAGCATCCTGTCAAAAGATCATCCATGAATAAAATACATGTTGATGAAAGTGTGCCAGGAAACCTTGTGCTAAGTGCCCAAAGTACCTGTTTTTGTGATACGATGGAAAATGGTGATTCATCATCCAGTAGAGTGATGTCAGTGGTAAGAAGGGCAGCAGACGCTTTTCTTCGGCTCAGGAAAGGAAAGAAAACAGAAGTAGAGAGCATGATTTGTGGGAAGAAAAAACTAAGGTCTTCTTTTCGTAGTCCCAGGATATTGCCTGTAGTTGGTACAGATGCTGGTGAAAATGATGATGAAACCTCGTGTGTGTCGAAGGTCAAAGTGTTTGATATGTCATTATTTCAAGGAGATACAGAAAAACAGATCTGCCATAAAGCTGTGACTCCCTCTGGTGAGATGCAAACAAATACAGATGACATTGTGTGTGGAAAAGGTGCCAGTGAAACCAGTAGTCCTGATACGCCAGCATTAGAGTCTGGCACTATTTCGAAATCGAAAAAAAGACGCAGGAAGTCGGCTCGAAGTCCTCGCATTTTACCATTACTGGATTTGGTTTCTCATAATAGCAATATTGAGCCCATAGCTGCTGTGTACAAAGTTTCTCAGAACGAAATTCCTATAAGTGGGAATAATATGACCAAAGACCCAGAAGAGGTTGAAGATACTGTTTGTAAAATGTGCCAAAGAGGTCAGCTTACGGAAACAGATAAAAAATGGCCTTCAAGGTGCTCTTTAACTTTTGTGATTATACTATGACAAAAATTGATAATCTGAAACTGAATGACATTTTATTGAATGAAAAGGATTATTATATATTATTTCATTAATTGTCAAAAGTTCTAGCATCTAAAAGATTGCATTTGTGTCATGCTTATGCTTTTAAGATAATGATCATAAAACCCTTTTATCTCTTATCTTTTTCGTGTTTACATAAATTCAGTGAAGAATAGGAATATTATTTAACTCCACATAATCATTCTCAGGCTGCAGAAGGAGTTGGAAGAGGCCCGTAAGGAAGCTCAACAGGAGATGCAGGAAGAGCTGGCTAAGACCCGTAAGGAAGCTGAAAAGGAGCTGAACAAACAGAAACATGGTTATGAAGATAGGCTAGCAGAGCTGGAAAAGGCTTTAGTGAGTATATGGATGGATAGGTGGAGCATGTGTAGACATAGAGTGACATTATTTGTGGAATTTACCAGGTGATGTTTTCACCTCTGTTTGGCTGTTTGATTATTTGTTTGATTTTCAGCAGCCTAACTCAAAATGTTATGGGTAGGGTTTAATGAATTTTTTTGGAGTGGTCAGAAATGGGTTAACTTAAAAATGCTGGTGATCTAGATTTTGATGGTGATTTGGATCCCTGAAATTTTAAAAAGATTCTTCACCATTTTGAGATAGGGCTGATTTGGTAATTTTTGCTTATAACTCCACAAATTATTATTGGCAGAGGCCTGTGATCTCTGAGTGCTTTTCTAGTATTTTTTATTGATTAATTTTCCTTCTTAATCTCATAGTCTTGCATGAATAATTTTTTCAGTATGAGCAGAAAACGGGCAAAGCTCAGGCTGAGAGAGATCACTTGATGGCTAAGGGTGTGATTGATAGACTGGAAGAACAAAAGAGGGTATGTATTGTTGTATTAATTGTTAAATGTGTGCAGGGGAGGGGGGTAGACCTTAATGTAGCAAAATAATTTTGGATAGGGTGCATCTTTTTGGTTAAAAGATATTATTGTGGAAAATTTACAGGACAATTATTATTGTTATACATGAAGCTAAGGAGAAAGGTAGATACTTAGTAGGAATAATGGGCTATCAAGCATTGTACAACTTGAATGAAGTGCCATTTTAAGGATGTGTGGATGCATGTCTGCATGTTTGTTATATATGTTTTCTGTTTGTGCACTGATGAAAAGTTGGTCATTATTGCTCTGGTTAAAACACTTTATAACTGGTACAATGGCAAACAAGACTCTACTTAATGTTTTAGCTGCTGGAATCTGAGGTCATCTCTAATAAAAGGAGACAGGAAATGGAAGAAGCTGCCAAGCAAAAGGTAGATATGGGAAACTCGCTGAATGCAGTACAATTAAATTCTCTTTCTAAGCAGTAAAGTAATGTCATTTTCTCACTTTTGTGGAATATTGATAGTGATTTTGTTATTTACTATTTATACTTGCCACCTAAGGATTCAAATATATTGCTCAATATCTCTCTATAGCCTGTAGAACCACTTCCTATGGAAAGGTGCAAAATTTTGGATGAACTAGAAAAGGAGAAAAAGAAAATTACTGAAGAGGTGCAACGCCTTGTGGCCATTAGACAGGAGAGAGAGGTTCCAACAGCTCTCTTCACAAAACCTCGTGTTGAGGTCCAGAGTGGACGTGTGGACTTGTATCGAGTTGCCTTACTTCTGAGAGAGGCTAATAAAATTGCACAGTTCTTGAAGAAGAACACAGTAAGTTTTTGATATCATGATGTTCAAATTTTTTTTCATTATTTTGCTATTAAAGGATTAAAAAGTGAACAAAAAAGATTTTTCAATTTTTGTGATGAAAAAGGCTTGGTTAGAACATTTGCTTGTTTTGTTTCAGTCAGTAATGCTGCAAGATTAATTTTTTTATTTTGAAACTTAAAGCCACCTTTTTTATCAGCATTACCTTTTCCATTTGAACATATTGAATGTAAGATATGTGTTAAAAATTTCCAATCCTTTTAGGTGTTCAACAGAGAAGACATCACCAAAGATGGTGAAAACCAGATTCTGGTGAAAGTCAGCAACAAGAAGTTGAGCATCAGTACCTTTTGGACATTGCAGAAGTTTGAGGCTAAGTTAGTACAGATGAGAGAATTGTATCAGGTATGCTGTGGCCCTGGAATAAATTGTGTACAGACCAAAGACATTACTTTTGTTTATGGATAAATGTCTTAGACTTCGTATTTCAAAGTTGTTAAGACTCTATGTAATAGGTGCTTCTTTTGATTATTTTAAACAAGAATGGTTGTTAAATTACAAGATAATACATAATATTACAATTTTTTTACAAAATGATAATAGTTTTTTTTAACTTGACACAGGGTGAATCTGAAAGTGCAGCAGAAGATGTTTTCTATGACCCCAATGACTGCTGGGAAAAAGATACCAGACTCAATTCAACCTCTGACTCTCCAAGGGTGTAAGATATATAATTATATGTTTTGTCAAATATTACAGTCTTCATCTTTTCCTTTATGATAGATTTAAGTTGAAAAGCAGCACACAAATGTGCAGTCTTTGTTGTCAGTGTTTTGTAATCTGTATATGTATCAGACAGACTGGAAATGTTTCTTAACCAAGCAGTAATTTATATGCCAGGTAGATTATTTATACTCTAACATCCAAAATAAATAATGGATGTAAATTTGATCTGATAACATACTCTATTGAGCACAGTTTTAATGACTTTCTCCCTTTGTTGACAGGTTAGACTGTTTAAACACCAGTATGAGACAGAGGATGTCTTCCCGGGACAGTATACGCCAGTCTTTAGCTTCCTTCTCTGGTAATACAAGTCTCCTGAATACTACACTCAGATCAGGTATTAGAGCTGTGTCTTGATATTGTCTTTTTTAACTGATTATTTTTGTTTTATTTGCATTCATTGTGTATCTTATCTTTGCCAGATGTTTTGAACCATATGTGAACCCTTGCGTTTGAGCTCAAATTTAATTTATTTTATTTAGCACAATTTGTAATGAAATTGTGATTCATTTCTTTAATATCTCTTGGAAAAAATGATAAATTTAGAATTCTATCTCCCCAAAAATTGCATCTTTAAGAAGTAGAGAGATTGCTGCTGTATATGGTTCTTTACATTAATTTTTCATTGTGATGATTCTGTTGGTTTTAGTGTCAGCTTCCAGTGCTAAGAGTTCCAGTACTTCCAGTGTGGATCCACTCCTCAACCCCCCACCCCCTACCACGTTAGCTGTCATCAGAGATTTCATCTCAATGGACATGGAGAAATTACAGGGTAAAACTTTCCTTTCCTTTCCTTTCCTATAATCTTGACTTAATTTATAACTTAATCATCACCATTGCATTTAGTGTAGATAGTGAATCAGCAGTACCTCTGGTTTAACCACTGTGAGTTTTTCAATCATGTAAAGAAATACTCTGGGTGTTAGAGTTGCCAGATAGTAGATTGGTCAAGTTCTTGTGATAGTGAGTCCTATTTAAAATAAGTCTCACGGAGAGTTTGACCATAAGCTACAAGTTGCTGATCCATTTCCTTCTTCCAGTGATTTTGACATAACAAAGTATATTCACTCTTATTTCTTTTACTTTGTAAAATATGAAGTATGGTCCACCTCTTTGTCTTGGATTTGATTTGATTAGTCTTTGTGTTGCCTGAAAGTTAATGAAAAGAAGTATTGTCTTTCAATTCAGATTGGTCTGTAGTTGAGACTCACCCTGACAAAATATTGCGAGACTGTGACTGTCTCAAGGTTGCTGTGGCAACGTTACTGGAGGCTTATAACAAACTAAGTGAAAGTGAAGACATCAGCAAAGGTATGGTTAAGGTTTCTTACAGGACTAAGGTATTCCTCAAAAGAACAGTTTCAGTATCTTCCATCCATGAAGATATTTGCTTTGTGCTCCATTTTCTTACTGTAACTATAATGAAAGAAGCAGATTTTTTAAACCCTCTAGGATTGTTGGATTGACATTTTTTCAAAGATTAAGAATGCTAGTACCTCTCTTTTCATATTATAATCATCATAACATATTAAGTTTTATGACTGTATTTATCATCTGATTCTTTTAGAAGAGTAAACTGAAATTTGTAACATCTGTGTTTTTGGTCAATTAATGTTATTTTGATGTTGTGTAAGTACTCATAAATTTAAACTTTCAGAAGTCTTATGTTGTACCACTTATCTCAGCAACATTCAGATAAAGTCTGCCACGGATGGTGGATAAGATGTTTAACTCTTCTCTAGATCTTCAGATAACTGTGATTTATTTTTTTCTAAAGAAAAATTAATTGATATTCTTTATGTCATCTTTCAGATGACTTTGTGAAGTCAGAAGTTGCCTGTCTCAGCAGCATCCAGATCAAGTCAGCCATGGATCGTCTGGTGGCCACCAGTACCATGTGGTTCGCCATGTACCAGCAGATAGGGTCATCGCTGATACAAGAGACTACCAAGAGAATGATGACACTGATACGGAGCTTGGGGAATAACATGGTGCTTTTTCTGCAGGTGAGTGTTTTATAACCTCCACTATTTTGACTTTGAAGGAAATTACACTGAATTTTGTTTTAGTTTATTTTAATTATTTGTGTTAGTATATATAAGGGTTGTTTAATTCTGCTCTATTAAATTTCTGATATAGAAAATACACATTGCATAGAAATGACATTTCTGTCATTTGCACATCATTTTGTATCATTTATATGTGTAACAACTTCATCTCTTTTTTCTCTATGATGAATATAATTTATTTAACATTTTTACATTTCAACATAAATACACTGTAATTAGAATCAACATGATAAAGTCCATAGATGAAGAAAAAATGTGGTTTTCCAGGGATGTGAGTTTGACATAGACACTATGGTGCAGCAGTCTTCAGCCCAGATCCTGGAGGTCATTTTCTCCATTTGTAAACTCTGTGGAGAGCTGTCGCTGGCCACAGATACCAGCCTTGTGACCCTCACTGATTACGAGGAGAGAAGTGGTGACTTGGAAGAGGAGCCGACTTCGGAGAATAAAGTAAGAATACGACAATGAATTTATTAACCTTTGCTGAATGCAATCAGATTAAAAGAGTGACACCCCTCTTGTTTTCCACGTACTCTTAAAATCACCAATGTTTCTTTATTTTACTCAACACTAGGAGAGGGTGTGTTAAATTATAAATCTGACTGCATTCAGTGAGTATCCCTGTGGTTTTGGTGTGCAGTAGCTAGGTCGTTAAATTCATTGTGAATGGGCCCATATTTGTTTGGCCACTGTCAGGTATTATATTTCTAACAAAAAAGGTGAGGAATAATGCTTTTCATATTTTTCAAAGAAAATTTGGCAAATATTTTCTTGTAATGTAGTTGTGTTAGCTAGATTTCAGTCATAATTTGTATGGGTTATGTGTGTGAGTGTGTTTGTGAGAAAGGTAATGTGCTAAGTGCTTGTTTTAAAATCTAATAATTTATTTTCAATGTTGCAGCTTGGACATGACATTCGTCAAGTCTTCCTAACTGGCTGTGATGTGTTCCTGGACAAGACTATCCAGGGGGGTCTGCGTAGTCTGGAGGAGTGTGAGATTAATGTGCAGACTTTGGCTGAGAACCAGAACACAAACCAACAGGTAACTTTGTTGAACAAGTGAAACTTAATTTGTTAAACAGGAAACCTTTATGTGCAGACATTCTTGCTAACCGTGGACATATGATTTCCTTGATTCTAAAAATTAGCTTACCAAAATTATAATTATTTTTATCCCCCCCCCCCCCCCCCCCACATACGTACGTACACACACACACATACACACACACACACACACACACACACACACACACACACACACACGAAAAATGAAAATGACCAGCTTGGAACACGAAACATGCTTCCTGTTATATTTCATTATTTTTGTTTTCAGTTAAGTGGAGACATACTTAAGCATGTAGAAATAGTTGCTGCGTCTGCCAAAATTCTACTACAGAAAGGTCAAGAGGTGCAGGTAGAACTGGACTCCACCTTGAGAGAAAGTGTCAACAACAAGGCTGAAAACTTTTATCATCTCAGCTACAAGCGTTCCCAAAAACTCATAGCCAATGTTAGCAGTTTGGTGGATGGTGTATCACTCATGGTGCAGGCTACAGATGCTCTGGCAAAGGGTGAGTTTTTTTTTTTTTTTTTAATTGAACATTATGTTAGTTTGTCAGTGATTTTCCCAGCTTGACTATTGATTTGACTTTGAAAAAGACTGACTATGATACCACTAATAAACTGTCAAATTTTGTTAACCTTTTTTTTTTTTTTTTGAGTTGACTCACTTGGTACGTAAATTTTATGCTCCCCCCCCCCCAAAAAAAAAAGAAAAAAAAAGGTGAAATCTGTCAGTCTTTATAATGTTATTGGTTGTCTAACATGCCCCATGCCCTAGGCCTGCAGAATGTACATACTGCAACTGCCTGAGTCCATCAGCTTTAGCTGGCTCATAATGAGATGTCGTGGATTTTGCCAACATTGTTGTAAATAACCAAATCAAAATTTAGCTCTTTGACATCAATGATTTAAATGTGCCTACACCGTATCATGAGAAATTATACAAGGGATTATAGAAATGCAATGAGATATTTCATTTAAATAATAGAAAAGCCATGCATTAACATTTTGTCATAGATTAAATTTTTTACACGTAGTTCATAATAACAGAATGCCAAAGATGAATAAACCATAGAAATTGTAATTATTAGAGTCACTCATTGTGAAATATTTCTCCAGGTTCTGATGGAGATTTAAGGAAAATCCAAAGAATTGCAGACCTGATCCAGAAATCTACCAACAGACTTGTGGCCTGTTCTTCCTCAACTGCCGAATCTCCTGCCTCTGCCATGACTGACAACCAATCAGAAACTTCAGATTTTTCAGTGCTGAGCGACTCTCAAAATGAACAGATGGAGATTGCAGCACAAGAAGTGAAATTAGCAACATCAGCTCTTGCAGATTATATACAGAAAACTCTGAAAAATGACACCTCCTTTGGGACTCCCAGTAAAGTTAAACGGATGCTCCCTGTATCGCCAGAGAAATTGGTCAGACCTTCCTCTTCTCCAAATTTGCAAAACAAGACAGCATATATACGGAAAAATCTTTCATTAGTGGATATGAATAAGTAGGCTATCTTCATGTGGAAGATACATTTCTGGAGCTTTCTCATAGCAAACAAACTCTCTTTGATATTAAAATATTTACTGTTAGAGGTTGCTGGTATCAATTCAAATACTGAACTGTGTCATCACTCTCAGTTTGGGGTACTTATACACTTGTAATCAAGTTGTGTATATATATTTCATTAAAGCATAGATGTAAGAAGTCATTTTGTAATTTAATAACCATGGAGTGAAAGGCAGTATAGTGTAAGGAAATTTCTGTGATAAGAATGCCTGAATGTGACTTTGTTGTCTGAAGATTGTCAATAGCTCAGATGTATTTTTACCGTCTTTGTTCTCTTAGGCATTTAGAGGGTTGATTGATAATGATTTTGGTATCCACTTCCTGGAGACAGAAAAAGACTGACATAGATGATGAAAGATTTTAAATGATACTTAATGGAGTGACAGCACCATGGTAGCAGATAATACCAAAATTACATAATCAGATTGTTAATGGAAAACATGGTGTCTTCCTGAATGACAGAAAAAAATATTCTCCTCTTCTATAATCTTAATTTGTATCATTATATTTGTGTTAAAGGTTTGTATCCTGACTCATAGTTGTAGATGATTTTGTTATTGTCTAGTGCTTGATGAAAAATGTATTCATTCATTAATTTATTCAGCTAAATCATTACATCATTTTCTGGTCTGCCAAATACAGAAGTGACTCAGAAGGATGCTTTGACTGACTCTAAAGGTGGATAATGCCAATATCTATTTTATTATGTGCCATTTTTCCTGTTATTGACAAACGCCATACCTTTATAACTAACATAATTATGACATACAGCGTAAGTGCTTGATTCATTGTACTGTTTGCTAGATATGTCTGTAAATCGAGGCTCACACTTAGGCCCCATTCAGAATAGGGAACTAACTAGTCCGAGGGTCAAATATGGCTGGCCCACTTGAATACTTTGGGATATCTATTTAGTGTCTATTAGTGGATTAGACTGCAAACTTTGTAGTGGATCGACATATTTAACCCTCGGACTAGTTAGTCCCCTATTCTGGATGGAGCTTTAGTCATGAGTTAAATCTGTCGAGACTAGTGTTGGTCAGCATGTTGCTGTCACTTGCATTTATACATCAAAAAGATAATTAAATACTTACAAAAAACAGGGCATTACTTTCTCAGCGCCAGGGCCATAATTTATAAACACACTTAAGACGAAGAAAGCCGAAATAGGTTTTCCCTCTGTACGTAAATTTTGAGTATAATTATTGTCTTTGCATACGCAAGGGGGTTGAACTTACACGAGGTGGAAGTACGGCGAGTAGATTTGGTGACCATTTCAATGCACTATAAAATCGGGACATAGGTTTACTCGTCATATTATGGGCACGTTTGGGGGGAAGAAAGGCATACAGGTAAGGAACATATGCAGGCACTTGGTGCAATTGCCATTTTAAGCTTACTGTGTGTAAAAGACAATTCTTCTATTATCAATCTACCCGACGCTTGGGAGTCCAACCCCCTTGATACGTAAGGGGACACAATTTAAGCACTCGCCTGGCTACTCGACGTACTTTTGGTTTGGGAGTTTACCCCCAAGTTTGAATTCAGCATCAGTACATTCATACTACTTTCTCTTACATTCATCTTACTTTGAGACAAAATGGTATGTTATTTTGATATTCTGAAAAGTGTAATCTCACAACATAAAAATGTATGATATTTGTTATTTGTGCTGCTTACATGTCGATTCATCATTCCGTATATTTCATTATAACATACTACGCTACGTGCATTACAATGTAAAGCTAATTCGATTTGCAAATGAAGGTTAAGGTAATATCATAGAAATAAATTTTATATGTTAAAATGCATTCTCTGTGTTTAATTATGCTCATAAAGGTATGCTACCCACGTCAAGTTTTACAATTCGTTTATTTCTTCGTCTTAATTTCTCCGTACCATGTACATGTCCTGCAACGCCATTTCCCTATTCAAACCTTAACACGAATAAACATCCTCAAAATGAGGGTTCCTCATTGTCGATATGTCCTTATGAAATGTACAAAAAGTCATGCTGACCAGTCATTTAGAAGTAAGAACTAAGTAATTTAAAGCATGTAATCCGTGTGCATAGACGGGTCAAGTACGAGGAAATTGCTTTATTGTTTTTACGGGTAAAATCTTTTTTTAGGTTAAGCGGCAACGACACATATGCGGCAAAGTAACCATTGGATGGTCAAAGCAAATTGCTGTTAGCAACACGACGGGTTTTCCCATAGGACATACAACACGAGTTCAGTTCTTTTTTCTACTGCTTGCTGCATTCCTCGTCAATCCCAAAGATTGGTTTATTGGGAACTCGGAGTAATACGTGTAATACCAATACCAACTTGTTTACGAGCATTATTTTTCTGATTTTGACAAAAAGTTTTGCTTGTTTCAGGTATCACGCGACAAACAATTCATGCAATCATTTGAGCACTACTGTGCAATGGTGGTTGTCGTATTTTACTACAAATATAAGCTTCCGCTAATGTCTGACTCGATTTGGCAAGCCGGTATATTTATCGATTCGTCCGCACCTGTTTGTTTCAGGAACGACTTGCAGACATTGCGCCTTGAGTCCAGAATCCTATTAATATCCGGTTATTTATTTGTATGTCTGATGAAAAAAGAACCCTTTCCTAGTTAGTTAGGGCGAGAACCTTTGTGTTAAACATTATGGCTCGGTCTGTCATTTGTGCCATTTGTTGTTGCAAATTGCCACAACATTATTATTGGGAGGTGGTGTAAAACATTTGCGGGTGCGCGGCATTCCATCAACACCTGTTCGATGTACATGTAGCTGGAATGGATGGATGTGGTTAAGGATGGTCGGTGTGTATGTGCGTGTGTGTGAGGGGGTGGGCTTCAAGTTTGCTTAATAAAATATTCGTTGGTTTGGAATCTGAGAGCACCATGAGCGCACGTAATGGTCCGGATTTTATGTAAGAACGCCGAGTCTTGAACAGACCAAACTTATACATGATCGAAGATGATGCAAAACAAAAACATATTGAAAAAAAGCGTTTGATGTTTGACTTACGCCATATCCTCTTCATGATGGGAGAAAAATACACTATTCTACCCACTTGTCCCTCTAAAGTGCCATTAAGTTAGCAACACGACGGGTTTTCCCATAGGACTAGCAGTAATGGATGAGGTTCATGCGCTCTAAAAGCGGCTGAGATAATGAAAGTACTACATCATGTGGCACATTTCAAAGCTGCAGTTCACCAAGGCATCGTGCTTAATGCATGATTGAGTATGTTGCTTTGATCCATAAGCAAAGCATGTAGTAGCATTATGCAAAGGTGGGGCAATTAATATTGCTTTGTCTGTTAAGTATTTAGAACCGGTAACAGCCGAGGGGGAGGGGGGGGGGGGGGAATGCCACGTCTTGTCTTTTGCAAAAGTTAAATAAATCAATAGAACAGAATAAAATAAAAATAATAATGAAATACGAAAAAGATGATGAAAATTAAAGGCAAATGCAAAAAACAAAACACAATTAAGAAAAAAAACATTTGAAAACATTTACGAACAAAACTCTATATGTTACAACAACACAAAACTTATTTCATGAAGTTGGAGCAATGAACGATCGTTTCTTGTAAAAGACCATAAAAAGCATTGGTCCGCTGTTACATACCACTGCCATTATACAAAACACGATATAAAAGCAATATAACGATAACTATGGCTTTCCGAATGGGAAAAGATTGATTGCAACCTTGCGTTACCAAGGCACATTGTTCTGTATTTTGTACGTGCATGTAAGTGAAAGCAGCTGAATCTTACACTGAGTCGTTCATAAAGTTAAATGCAGTCTTGAGGGCCACTTTGCCATTGTTCTACTGCGAACACTATTTCATTTGCTCAGAATTTGACGCTGCCGTTATATAGTTATCTAAACCCACGGCTCTTCCTCCGAAGTAGTATTTTAAAATACGGAGCAATTATAGGTACGATTTGCACTACTTCTGTAGGTCTTGTACCAGTTGTTCTTTTCAGTAAAGTTTTACCATTTCGCCAAAAAATGGTGGTGGGGGATGTGGGGGGGGGGGGGTTGAACGCAACCTTTTGGTTAGAAATTGTGCCTCCTATTTTAATCTGTGGGTTATGGAATCTTGCAATGGATCACAAAAAGGAGTTTCTGTAGTAATTCAGCGCAGTGATTTCACTATAAATTTTGAATGGAATTGATGAAGGGGTTTTTTGAAACACATGAGTAGAGATTAGAAATAAAAAGTTAGAAATTAAATGCCAAATATTTAAGCAATAGACAATTCTCACTTAAGATTTTGAAAAGAATTATAGCCTGGCAAATGAAATATAATTTTATATTCATAAACTTTTTGAGACTACATGCTGTCTTTTATGTCGTTTCCGGTTTAGTGGTTTCACATTTACCAGTGCACTTCTATTTACATGTTCAATTAGCCTATATCATATAACGGAGGACTACAGAAAGTTTATTCAAAATTTGCCAAAATTGCGTGTTTCAGATTCTATGTGTCAAAAGATAATATAACTGTCAATGCTTCTCTGCCTTTTGGGGCTCGTGCCTTTAAAGTAAAACCTTATCGAAAATATGAATCTTAGTTTTCTTCCCCATGTATTTCTCAGTCACTGATAACGGGTGATGTTATCTTGGATTTTATTTTAGCTAACTACCTAAAGGAAAGCGCACTTTGTACATGAACGTAATTGCGTTCTAGGTTCAAGAGTTCCTAGAACAAGCATCAAACATGCTCCCTTCCCTTGTGGATTGCAAGGATCCAATCCGCCTAACGATTTTCTTTGAAAAAATCTGAAGGTTAGTAAGAATGATATACGTACTACATCCATATCTTGCCTATCTTTAACATTCTGTAATACTACTTTTTTTAGTGCTTTGCTTTTAATACAAGGGAAGTGCCGTTTTCTTCACTTTTGCACTGTACATGTTATTTACAATACTATATATTCTGTCGTATACGTTCTCATTTCTCAAACTGGACGTTTTGGTTAATTGCCACAAGCACTAGTTCATGCACAGGGCGTAATTTGAGTATTATTGTAATCAACACGAGCCGAGTTAATGGGCACAGAAAAACACTGTACGGTTCATGAATCAGGCGTAGAAGAACGATACCAACAAGAAAGCTGAAAGCTCGTTAGGTACCTAAGTAGGATAACAGCGAAATAAATACATAATCGGGACTCACGACCTCAGCTACTCCATCCGGGATGACTGATTAGAAACCATTAGTGAGTGTTAATGCCGCTGACAATGCAGCTTAAACAATACAGCGCTGGCGCCATATTCGTTTGCAGTACATCCTTCAATCCGTGCTGGTATCGTCGTTTTAACAAAAGGCGTGTCAGTCCCAATCAACGAAGCAGCATACATTATTTGTTTGACGGAAAGAGTCAACATCTACATATGGAAATCCCAACGACGTATTAGTACGTTACACCGACCTTACTGCAGAACAAGACTTGGGTGAGCCTTTTGTGGACGTTATTTTACCAAATCAGTGGGACTCTTCTTCATTGGTACTTTTCTTCTATCAATAGCTGTAAACTGCAATAAGGTGCGTGGACGAAAAAGTAGGGAAGAATGTAGACTCTAGTGCATATTAGTTTAAAAGGTAAGTTAAACATGAATTGATGGCAGATGACGAGAGAGAGAAAGAGAAACCATTGTAGCATTCAAAAAGTATGCGCTTTTTTACCCACCTAGAATAGGAAAATAGTGCTGTGCTATCTAACGTTGCTTTATTTCCCTTCCCTTGTGTGTCGTACGTTAGTTCTATAAAATCCACGCAGGGTCTCATGCATAGCAAGTCAGAGGCTGGGTATTACCCATTAATTATTCTGTGAGAAACCTGGATATTAACTAGCTTGTCTATGAGAGCATTAACACCGAGAAGAACCGAGCTCTAGCAAGGCCGAGGCCTAAATATGGCAGACCTACATGAAAGGAAGAACGTGTAATCCTTTAATAGTCTCTCAATGACATTCACTCTCTATGTCCATATGGAACATGGGATTATATGGAAAGCTAGCGACTCGATATCATCCCATTTGTTCTGGTAGAAACAAGAATTCAGAAGATTGATACCTTTCAAAGAGGAAAAAAATTTGGATGAGAGTGCCATTTCACGTACCTTCGAACCAGCCATTTGCTTGGGTGCTTGTTTTCAAAATGTAGACTGGCAAGCGTATGCTAAAGTACCATTTGTATATCTATTCCGAGTGAAACAGTATTCAGTTTCGAGTGTGTGAACAGATAATCAACGGGATATTGGAGGCGATGAAAACCGGCGTCGTTTTTGTTTCAAGAGATCTAATTGGTACATCCAGTACTGTGGGCACAGTGAGATTGCTTACAGTGTAACGATATATTGATAGCGTTTGTTACGCGTACCTCATATTCAACTGATATGCCTGCTCTTTGAATGGTTGATTGATTTCTACATAAAACGTTCTTCAAACTTTGCTCTTCCTTTTTTGCGTTGTATGATGTTTCCGAGAAGTGTGGATGACTTTTAAGTAAACAAATATTTGATACATGTTACTTTGTATAGAAAAAAAGCATATTCTGATATTTATGCAAGTTTACCTTTAAAACATTTCCGTGGCAAGATATTTTCATTGGGCATTTACAGTTGGGTATGGATTTAAATAAACAATTAGATTTCCTTAAGTAAAATTCATATTGATCGCTTTATCAAAAAGTGTTCTTCTAAGCGTCTGGTGTTTGAATCCTTACCGTTCATCGAAATCTACTTCTTTAGCAATTAAAACAAGACAAAAGCCATGTGATATCAAAGACCGGTCGTTGATGCCACTGTTTAAACTAATCCATTACGCCAGACCGTAGAAATCGATTTACTTGCATATTTGATAATGATGAATTGGCGAAATCGAAAGCAAGTCCTATGATTTGTAGCAAGGTATTTGACAGAGATCTTTATTTCCTGATACTCTTCTTCAAAGGCTAAAACCCACGAGGCCACAGAAATGCAAAAATGGATCATAATAAATTGTGGTGCTTTTTAGAGGCTCTGGTGAAGTGAATGGACAATGCGGCTCCTGAAATATGTAGGAGTGATTTCTTCGTTTATGTTTTTTTTATCACAACATGTTAAGACGCGAATTAAAACCGCTAGTATTCAAGTTTCATCCTTTTTTGTCCTGTTAATGTCTGTTCGCAAGCAATATGATATATGTATGTACATATATTTTACTTTTTTTTTTAGAAATTTGGTCATTTTTTTCTGATGCACATGAATGCTCTACTGTTATGCCATTGCAAATTATTTTTTGGGGGGGTAGGGGAATCTTAAAAATAGTTTGCAATTTTGTCCCTTGTGAGACAAATGATACGCATACGTGCATGCATCATGAGGGGGGACGTAACATTTTATTGCGTATATACTGTTTAGACAAAAGTAATCCATGTTTGCGGATTTCACACAAAAAAGTAAGACAGTAAGTTTGGGAAATAAATTGCAAATGGAAGGCTGTCTCGTTTGGTGTAAGCTATACTGTTGTCATCCTTGCTAGTGTTTGGATCCTTGCTGTTCATAGAAATCTACTTGTTTAGCAAATAAAACAAGACAAAAGCCATGTGGTATCAAAGCCCAGTTGGTTATGACACTGTTTAAACTAATCCATTACGCCAGACCGTGGAAATCGATTTACTTGCATATTTGATAATGATGAATTGGGGAAATTGAAAGCAAGGCTCATGATTTGTAGCGAGGTACAGAGGTCTTTTTTCCTTATTCTATTCTTCAAGCCCTAAAACCCATGAGGCGAAAAATGCAAAGAATGGACCATAATCGATTTACTTGCATATTTGATAATGATGAATTGGGGAAATTGAAAGCAAGGCTCGTGATTTGTAGAAAAGTATTTGACAGAGGTCTTATTTCCTTGTCCTATTATTTAAGCGCTAAGACCCTCCAGGGGATATATACATTATATCTGTAGAAACGCAAAGATTGGAACATAATAAATTATGGTGCTTTTGTAGACTCTCTAGCTGATGGATGAATGTGAAAAAAGAGTCATTTGGAAAGATTATGTCTGTTAGAATACATATGCCCTGCCTAATTAACTCGAATTCAAATCAATTTTAACAAAAGAGATTTTAATCCAGATTTTTAGCAGGCACCAGGAATGCAGTGATTTAACACGTAGGCTACATTGGTGAGGTTCAATCGACAGTGCGAATATATCGTTAGTTAGTATCTTGAGAATTATGCCTTTTTTTTCGGGGGGGGGGGGTTAGGGGGGTACTTAAAGTAGTGCGAATTTGACCTTCCTTGAGGTAAGTTAAACGCATGCTTCAGGGTCTTCCGGAAGACTGCCAGATTTACATTGACGGGTATCTATATTTTTTTTGTCGGATGACGGTCAAGAATGGCGGATGGACGAACAAAGATAATTTGCAAGACTGTCAGAAAATACAGACTTGACATTTAATATGTAATATTTTTTCCAAATCATTTTTCATCAGTTTTTTCCTGTTTTGCTGACTTATAAATGAAAATAAGGATTAAAATCGTGTTTTAATAACTTTTAGTTATCTTTTTGATGTCATTGTGTCATCAGTTCATTAACTGAATTCGGCAGAGAAGCAAACAAAAATACATTGCCTTTTCTATGCCATACGACAACCATTAAAAGAGATATTTTGGATCTTTATATTTTCCAAATTATCGTCTGTAAAAGAGTTTCACTCTCCACAAAGGACCCTCATATCAGTGGCTAGTCACAGTAACGGTCACTGTTACGCCTTACATCTTCTGGCTGCTACCAGCGCTCTCAAGCGGCAAGGCATTCCTTGGGATAGGTTTTTAGAGTTCAATCTGGAATAATATTCCAGGCATCGGTCAAAATCTGCCCAATTTGGTCCAGTTTTGTTGTAGGACATGTAGGCCGTTGGATCGGCGAGTAATGGCCTACCCACATATTGTCTGTGTGGTTCAAATATGGCGATTTTGATGACCAAGGACCTGCTCATTCCCTTGGTTCTGTAAGTTATCTGCTACTAAAAGTGCTCTGTGTGAACCGGCATTCTCACCGTGCAACCTAAAATTGTTCCTAAGGTGCCCCCTAGATTAAATGATAGTCAAGTGGTTCCCAGATTATTCCTTTATTTGATCTGGTTCAGGTTTTCGTTGATGACTATCATTAGTGTTTTGGCACCAATGTGGTATCCACTACAAATACTGACGCTGTTAATGACCTTAGTCACTTTAGACGCGGCACACGCTTGTCGTAGGCCTCCTCTGGATGTCTGTAAACTCTTTGTGGACTAGTCGAGCGGTACAGGTGAAATCTGACCTCAATAAGGAGAGCCATGCGGTTTCAGTGTTCAACCCAGAAACATTCAAGGTCCCCAATGCATTAGAGAAACAGACAACGATGTTTTGCTGTTTACAGTGAGATTCCTCGGAGGTCGTCTGGTATTCTAACCTGCTACAACCACTTTGGTGTTCGCTTAGGGCCTTGAAAAACGCGTTTTGGTAGCAATTTACCCCTCGTTCTGAGCGGACTGGGTGGTTTTTGTTTAGTTGCAGCACCATATGCCGAAATACAGTGGGTCCCGTACCTTGGCGGTGAGATTTGGATACATTGGGTGTGGCCTCTGTGTAGGTACATCAGTCTGGGCATTACTGTATAAAACTTTGCGGACCGTTTCTTTTGGCACAATTATCTGTCTGGCAATGTCTGTCTTTTCACGCCATTCTGCCACAGATTAACAAATTTGTAAAGCAGTGCTAAGCTCATTTTCCTTACTGCAAAACCGACCGCTTGCATGCAAAATTTCAAATACTTCTGTGCAGTAGTTGCCGACATAAGGATACTTTTTTGACAGAACCATGCTTTGCCAAAGCCAAGCTTTGGCCTGTCCAAAGGAGCACTACCCAACTACATCACTGCATATTACACAGCAGCGCAACAGACCTGGTAGTCAGTTAATTGGTAGCGACACACTAATGAGATCGGAGTTTTTGGAAAAAAGAACGCATTTTTACCTAGGCATACCTTCGAAACTGAAATATTCCATATTAAATGTCAAGTCTGTATCTCTGGAACCACCCCTGCATGCGTGCTAGAAACCAGGGATATGCACTACATATTTTATTATATACAAGTTATTTAGACAAAAAATTAACAGCATTTACGTTTTCGGGTACTTTTTTTTCTGAGCAGATTTGACTTAACAAGCATTTTTTTTTTTGGAACATTTATTGCATGTCATTCAAACACAGATGAACAGACATTTCGTTTCCAACAAACCGAATGGTGTGTAAAATGCCTCTAGATTGACATATACTTTTAATAAATACTATTTGTTTTGATTTTTAAACGCACTGAATACAGAATGCGAGCAAGTCAAAAATATTGCACAGACGTTGCATTCATGATAAGACCAATTTAAATGATCTCAATACATTTCTGGTTGGCTGCATGCTAATAGCACTTGCATGTTATCATTTATAGTTTCAGATATTGTGGAAACAGTCATGAAACTATACGTGATGGCGTTCCTTGCCTTCTCATTTCTGGCGTTTGTCTCGTGGTCTGAGGCCGGGACGTTAACGAGCGGCACGGATCTTCCTGACACTCCTCTCGTGCGCCATGCCGACGCTTGTTATGAAGATATTCGTAAGTGTGGACTTATCTTTTCCGTTCAGTACACTCAACACTCATGCTAGTTTAGTCCAAATATTGAGAAATTTTCGTTAATTTGTTGTAAATAGAATGTGAGAGAATTTGAGTCATGTGCCTTCTCCGAGAGAAGGCACTATAAGAGACCTGATGTTAAATGAGTCTGTAATTAGGCTTCTTCATTATTTTAATGAACAGTAATTGGTTAATGGTGGACTGGTCAATAAAAAATCGCTTAAAATATCTTGCTTCGGTTTCAACTAGTAATTTATTTATTTATTTATTTATTTATTTATTTATTTATTTTCCAATTCATTCATTTACTCACGTATTCATTCATTCACTTACTCACGTATTTATTCATTCAGTTATCAGGATGATTGTTCGGTTTGCGCACTTCTATTTGAATCAGTTTGTTAGTTGAAATTTGATTAGATAATCAATGGACATATTCATTTGTATTCATTGTTCATCTTCTTGTTCATTCAATTAACCTTTCATTCATTTTACACAACTCGAGAACATCTCCATTTTAAAACTTGGATGTTTTTGCAGTGTCAGAACCAACGTTCGTGAGCGCTCTGGATAAATTCAGCAATTGTTTGGACAAATTTTGTGGCCAGAAAAACTCACAGGGAGAATTCACTTCTCGTTGTGGACGCATCAACGGACAGAAAGGGCAGGCTTCCTCGACCATACGCCTTAAGCCCGGTATTATCGAGACCCTTAACTTTACCTTCGAAGACTTCGATGTAGAGTATAGTCCAGGGTGCATTAACGACTTCGTGGCAGTCTACGACGAAAATTCGGTAGAAATTGGCCGCTACTGCGGACGGCATCCGCCTTTTAGCGTCTACTCTACCGGTAACTTCATGCGACTATCTCTTAAAACAGACCGTTCTATAGAGGGTCGGGGGTTTGACGGTTTTTATGATACTTTCGCCAAGGACAAATATTTGAGGACGAGGTCGACATTCGAAAGGTTTGACGATGACTCAGTGGAAGCTCATACTTTTTCTGTGGATAACTCTACGCTGGTGGCAGTGGCGGCAGGACGGCGGTATCATGAGTGGCTCATACGGACCAAGGTTGGAAAAAGGCTCCGTCTTTCATGGAACCTAAACTCAACGTTTTTGAACGGGACGGATATAATCATCCACAGAGGTCCCTCAGAGTATGGGGAGATAGTGTTCCCAATGTTGGATATCAGTTCTAATAACAGCTTCAGCGAAAACAACAGCATGCCTGGTAGCTCCATCCTGGTTGACTCGTTTCAGGTTTTTGTTAAAGTGTTCGAACCGGTTGACAGCTCTGGTGACTTTGCCATGAATTTTACATACAAAAGTCTGCCCGTTTTGATAGATTGTGAGGAGAGCCACAGTGAGGAACAAGGCCCACCTCAGTGTAGGAAGGTCGGAGATAGATCCCAGCTAGGCCAAAGAGACCGGTATCTGTCAACAGATGACGTCGCGGCACGCACTGTCACAGTCAGAGACGATCCTAAAGAATACGCGTTTGAATCTAAAAACGATTCTACCTACCTGGTATTCCGGTTTGGACTGGGTGATCGTAACGGCTATCGTGTTTTGAGCGTAACAATCAACCAAATAGATTTTTCTCCGTACTCGTTTGATTACTGTGGATATGGTGGAATTGTTATTATTGACAGCGATGATGTTGACAGTAGGGAATACTTGTTTGGGGAGGCACCACTGTGTGGAACAGGTAGGAAATGTAACTTTTATTACTTGAAAAGCCCATGTTAAAGGGAAAAACTAACAAACGGGGGAAGTGGGTCCTGACATCAACAGCTGTTTACTGGTTATTGCCGGCCCTATGTCCATCTCACTGAATATTTGACAAGACACGGTATTAAGTAAGTGAAATGAATCAGACACCCTATATGATGGCTGTCAGCTTGTTCCTTCGGTGTGTGCGCATGCTGTACCGTCGGGAAGATTTTATATTTAACAATATTCGCCTACGTTATTTTGTACTTAAACATTAGTTTTTTGTTTTGTTTTGTTTTGTTTTGTTTATTTATTTATTTATTTATTTATTTATTTATTTTTTTGTGAGGCATATGCAAAATTGATGTTCAGGAAGTGCAAATAACAGCAGTCATGAATGTGGTTCCCTGAAATAATCTTATATTTGTATCATGTCCATTCTACCTCAGTTTTCGGTCATTATTTAGTTACGTCATAGCTGAATTAAGGGAGACCGGGGCTAGTTGGCCCAGTTAGACACGTTTGGCCTTGTAGAGCCAACTACATGTAGGAATGAGTTAGAGTAACAAAACCGGTTTTAAAGTAAGGCCCATGAACTAAGCTACGTATGCAACATCATTATTTTTCAAATATAATGCCAGATGGCTCACAATTTGACAAAAAACGCAGTCGACGTCAAGGGGGCCAACTTGCCCTACGGGGCAAGTTGGCTCCATGGTCGGGGCAAGTTGGCCCCCCTATACGAAAATGAAGTATATATCCCATGTAAACGCCTTAAAATACATTTTTATACATTTTTAATTTATTAAATTGATTTTTGAGAGTCTTTGATGAATAAATTGTTCAAATGAGGCAGATTTTTGAGGTTTCCGTACGTCACATTGTAGGGGGGGGGATGTGTTACAAGAATCAAAATATCTATCAATAAAATTTGTTTTGTTTTAATTAAGAATATATTAATAAATCAGGTTTTTAATGAATGAAAACGAATAATAAATTTTCGTTTTAAAAGAAATTAACAAGTTCAGTTTTAAACCATTGAGTTTGTTTCAACAATGGTCTCTAGCTAGGGAGGGGTGAAAAATCCCCTATATAACACTATAAATACAAAGGGAATCCCCTTAAAATGAATTAAGGCAAAATTTGTTTTTCTCAGGAAAGTCCAATGGATTTGCTTTTTAATACATACAATCAACAGAACATTTCTAATATAAATTTTCGAAAAGACACCAGATAGCAAATTAAATAAAACCAATCAGACGGTAAACACCGGCAAGCTTTGTCAATTTCACCAACTTGTTTATTTCAAACAGCGTTGCGCGCAAAGTATTGTGGGTAATATAAGGGTCCAACTTGCCCCAGCACAGGCTTCAAACAACTGCGCATGTGCGAAAAGTGCGCTGTTTGAAATAAACAAGTTGGTGAAATTGACAAAGACCGTCTGGTTGATTTTATTTCATTAGCTCTCTGGTGTCTTTTTGAAAATTTATATTAGAAATGTTCTATTGATTTTATGTTGTAAAAAGTAAATCCGTCGGAATTCCTTAGAAAAACATTTATTTTACCTTCATTTTAAGGGGATTCCCATTGTATTTATAGTGTTATATGTGGCCCCAATGGGGATTTTCACACCTCCCCTACTCTTGATTAATAAAATTCTTCACCTGGAGGATTGTAAATTACATTGCAAAATACATTGAAAATCGTAGGAAGGTTAATTGCAGATAATGCTGCGAGGATATTCTTAACAGTGGGGGAACTCGGCCAATATAAAATTTTTAACTTCGTTTTACGATTTTGGAGCGCCTGTTCTAATTTTTGAAAGCGAGGCAATGGAACCAAACAATGCGATACAATTTGTAATCTCGTAAAAATTGCTATTTTTATATAAAGGTTATAGCATGGAGTACATCGAAATGCGACTTGTTTATTATTATGATCTTAAATAATAATTAATATAAAACAAACGATATAATACGTTCTTAACGTTAGCCTATTTATTAGCTTAATTGATTTTTTTTCGTATTTGGAGATTAAAAACACAAAAGTTGTCTGGTTTCATATCGAGGCACTGCGTTTCGTTCGTGTGCTACTTGCCCCGAGTCTACGGGGCCAACTGGCTCCGGGTGCACCTTTTTTTATTTTAAAGGATGACAGCCATTTATGATGCTAGAATGAGCAACGAAGATATATCTCTATGAAACTTGAAACAATGAGCTTCAGTTTGATGCCCTATACATATCTTATATTCGATTAAAAGCCTATGAAAATAGATTCTAATTCTCTTTAACAAAATTACTTTTAGGTGCAAAAATCGTTTATTTGGACTCACCGCTTAAGTTAAACTTTTTAACGTCCGACACTTCCTAATTATTGTAGGCTACGGTCACTTTACAGGAGTATGTGGCCAATTTTTTTTACCTCGTAATTACTTTTTCATAAATTGACGGGGGGCCAACTTACCCCGGGGTCCAACTAGCCCCGGTCTCCCCTACAATAATGGCTGTAAGTAGTTATAAGTTGTGTATATATTGCCCAAGGATTTGTCCTGGGCAGCAGGTATAATCAGGCTCCAAATAAATGATTTTAACATCGTAACCGCCAAATTGCGACATTATATAGTGACTATTAGTCGGACATAATTTTTGTAACAAGAATATCAACAAAATGCAAAGTCGTATTCCATTTTAGCTAAGGAGAACAGTGCACTACTTAATCAAAAGCTGCAGTCGAGAAGCAGGTCCTTAATCATCATCATCTACCACGAGCCAGTAGGCGTCCTCACAAAAGACTTTACTCTTAAATTCACTGTAGCGGCTTCAAAAACTGACGGTCCGCAACACAAGATTCATCCTCTGAGTGCTGACAACCAGGTAGTACTATTGCATTCATCTAATTTGTTCTTTGCAGTTTAATGGTTTGTTAATGGATTCAATTACTAAATTGATAACTAAATCCTTCACCTGATTTAATGGCCAATTACTGAATTAATTAATTGTTTATTCAATTAACGTACTCATTTATTTATCTATAATGGCTATCTATTGTAATCTATTAGGTAATCATTATTCCTGTAGCTCAGTGAATTTGAAAGTTTTAATACTATACTGGCTTTAAGTTTGGAACGCACTTCAGCTTATTATATTGTTTTTTCTTACCTCTGTTTACTTCAAAGAATCCCACCCCGACACAGTACCAAATAGAATATGTTGAACACAGAGAGAAAGGAAAAGGGATCACTATATCGCTTGTCATCAATGAGAAGACGTTCAACTATTCCTACGTTGAGATCTATGACGTTGGAATGAGGATGGGGCAAGGTAAGCCAGCAGGGAATATTCGGGAATTTCGATTTTTTTTTCTTTTTTGTAGAATGATCACATAAACACACACGTGCATAAAAAACTGATGTAGCATGCATTTCCGATCTGGTAAATGACGTCTGTCAACTTTTGCTGCATTAGATTTTGATTATAGCCAGGGGCGGATCCAGAGATATTTTCTGACAGTCTTCCAAATTATCTTTGTTGATCCAACCTCCATTTTTGACCGTCTTCCGACAGAAAAAAGATAGATACCCGTCAATGTAAACTTGAAAATCTGACCGTCTTCCGGAAGACCCAGAAGACGGCCTAAATCCGCCCCTGTATAGCTGTTTATGTTTGATGTATTTGTCATTAATGATTTATACTTTTTATAAAGCAACTGATACTTAATTAATGAATTACATTTGCAAATGATAGGCCTATATCTTATGAGGTCTCTACTGCTAACCATTTATTCTGAGCCAAAATTTTACCAGTAGGCCTATTTTCTATATCTTCTGGTTGGATACTTTGTACAATTTTGATAGTTTATAATTTCTTTTCATAATGTACCGTTATTTTCACAAAAAATTGAATTTTTCCTCAGCTGACAATTTTACAATTGTGATCTCGGCCAAAGAAAGCATAGATCGTCTGATAATAACCTCTGAATTTATCGACGCAGACGACCGAAAGGACTGCGCCAGCGCCCTGTTTCTTCTTGAAGGCGAAACAATCGTCATGCCGAAGAGAATGGTCGCATACAATGTTACCATAAATTACTTCAACAATAGACAGTGCGGGTTTAGCAAACACTTCATCAAAATCCGAGCAAGAGTTAGCAATATATCGAAATCTGTTTGTAACTTAAAACCAGAAATATACAGAGAGAGGACGCAGAGCTTCATCTTTCTCCCCCTTATTTGTGGCGCCGTCTCCCACTGCAGTTACTCGGGTAAACTCAACGGAGTATATTACCAAATGGTCATTGGGATGGGGGATGATTCTCAAGAGGGAGAATATTATGAGATGTACTTCAGAGACCGTTCTGCGATGCAGACATGTGACGATGACACGGCTGGTGGAAGCAGCGTCTCTCTCCTAGAACCCAGATATAATATCACGGAGTTCTGTAGGTTAGACGTGCCCGTGTGCAGGCGAGGGATTGCCGCTGTGAGCAGAAACGATACTCCTTATACTCACCGCACCATTGGGAGTTATAAGGTAACGGATGTAGTTGAATTTTCAAAAAAAAAAAAAAAAAAAAGTCACATTGACCATCACCCGTCATCAACGTCACAACCGTTAATTAGTTATTAGGATGACGTCACCACTTTTCTTTTAGAGAAAAAAGAGGAAAATGTGAGTAAATCTAAAGTACTTGTAGATGTGTTATGAAGTAGCGTTGCTCCTGTTACAATTTGAAGAGTATTTCTTTGATATTCCGTTCTTCTCTAGATCCGCGTTGAGATGATACCAAGTGCATCAAGACACAAGGATATCAGTTTTTCATTTAACTTATTCACGTAAGTGGTTTTGACACTTCAAATAATAAAGCGTTTGCAATTCTTCCGTTGCTTCTCTCTAAGCTAAATCTTACTAACCTTAGGTTACAAAACCTATTTACAGTCTCAATGAAGATAGTGTGTACTGAAACGCAAACTTATGCGCACTCATGAAAGAAAGCAACGGCTTAATCCACCCCTACTCCCCCACCTGCCTCTTTCTACAAATCCAAATTGATGTAGCCTAATATCTTTATTTTTCAGCTACAAATCACCACCTCTACTGGACAATGAAGAGAGGAAAGAGAACAAAAGCTGTGCTCCAAACTGGCAGCTCTGGAATGACAAGTGCTACAAAGTTTTTCCAAATGATAATTCGACGGTAAATCAAGTAAACAAAAGAATGCTGGACAGCAAGCTCTTCAGTAAACAAAAAAGTCAACACCTTGTCATCTGGCTGCAAAAAGCCTATTCCCTCTCTATCTCATACTTGCTTGCTGATTGTTGGTAAAATTAATACTTCATGACGCGTTATTATAATGTCAGTAAGTGTTTACAGTTTTCGTAGAAAAGAAAGACCACAGAAAAATGTTTGAATTAACGTTTATATAAAAATTTTTCTTGTCCGATTTTCTTAGTTAACGTGGATACCGGGTAATCGCACCACGTGGAATGCAGCAAATGAGCAATGTGAACTTATAGGAGCAACGCTTGTAAGGTATGGTACGCATACTGGTAGATAGGCCTATCTGTCCGTCGCTCCCCTCTCTCTCCCTCTCTCTCTCTCTCCAGTGTATCTATTCGGATTTGTAAGTTATATATGTCGCAGGTCAGATCCCAATTGAGTCTTTGCATTGTTAAAACCATAACGAGCCAATGAGTTAATTGACCAAGTAATTTGCAGGTGAACTGCCGGTTTGTTTGTATATATGTCACGTGTAGTCAAATTGTGGATGGTATACTGTACATCAGGGTATATCATATTAAACTGAACGTCTGGCAAATGGAATTTTGTTGTATTCATTTTAAGTTGTTAAAAAAAATTTGATGGTGAAGAAGAAAACATTTACATGTAGATCAGTCGAAGTATTTAGTAAAGGAATGTCAATTTTATTAAAGGTGTGGCAAGGAAAGTTATCAATATTTCATTTATATAATAACATCCAAGAATTAAACTGGCAGCCCACCTGTAAATTACGTGGCTATTTAACATGCTCATTATGGTGTCAATAATGCAAAGATCCAACTGAGATTTTGCCTAATCCAGTTAGTAACTGGACTAGATTGGGATCTGGCCTGTGGCATCTCTCTCTCTCTCTCTCTCTCTCTGCAGAGTATCTATTTGGATTTATAAGTTATATTTCGACATACACGCAAGTAGCCATAAATTCATACACTTATCACATTGTATTCAAAGCTCAGTCCAGTGTTTCAAACCGTAACCTACAATGCAAAGTTGCTACATCTTTTTAAATTGAACCTTGAATTAATTTATAAACTGATTATGTGTTTATGAAAAATAAAGCAAGAGTTGTTTTTAGTCAAAATGTGACTTAATGTTTTGCCACACAACAAAATAATAAATGTTTCTACTATTTAGCATTCGGAGCTCAGATGAATTGGATTTTCTGATGTATATGATGGCTACGAAGTGGAAAGACGATATTATTCATGCGGATAAATACATAATATTCATTGGGATAAACGACAACAAGGTATGGTATGTTAATGTTAAATGCATAAATTCCTCATAAACATCAATTATTTACTATCTTTGCCTATAGTACATGTACATCTATGTTTGCATTGTGATGGCGAATTATCTTATGTCTTTTGCAGATAAACAAAAAGTACACGTGGCTTGACCAAAGCGTGATGGGGTTTGCAGATTGGTACAACTACCAAGAAAACCGGTATCTTTTGGAAGGGCGATTGCTTTTAGAAGAAAATCAGCCTATCTGCGACGGGAAGAAGAACACTGTGGCAACCGCTATTAGCGACCGCGCCCTCGTAGACATGGATAAACTGCAGCCATTTAGCCACGAGGCTACACGGTGCACGGCTATGGTCTTTACAGACACACACACATCTACAAACTGGATCAAGATACCCTGCGAGTTTCCATTCTGCAAGGCCAGTTTCATATGCCAGAAAGACACCAATGATAGGAACATTATTAATAGATTTCCTGAGATGAAAAGTAAAACAGCTTACACCAGCGTGTCCCATGGGTCTCCGAGCAGGCTTGTATGGGCTGAATTTAAGTGTCCCGCAGGTTGGGTTGCGATCAATCTGCCCTCTACCGATGGCTTTAAGTGTTATAGGCTGATAAGTCTACGCAACCAGGCCGCAGATATTGATGTCATGTGTGCAGTAAACAGGACCATGATGATGTCACCCGACTGTCGTGAGCGTACCAAAGTGTTGCACAGTGTTGCAAGTGCCTCGTGTCAGGACAACCAAGCGACCCTGGCTACCGTAAACCAGTCTGATATACCCCTAATTGAGCAACATCTTAAACTATGGCGGCGCCCTTACGGGCCTGGGGTAAAGATCAACGTTGAGGAAGACAACAATCAAGGTTGTATATCTCTTCAGTATGTCCCAGAGATTATAGCTTGGGACAAAACCGACAAGGTAACAAACGAAAGGTGGGCGTTCGTTAACTCTTGTGAAGGGGAACTGTACGAGATGAAGTACAGCTTCTTCCTTCGTGATTTACAAGATGCCCTCTGCGTACAAGAGGTCGGGGAACCTCCACAGAAGCCGTCATGTAACCCGAATCTTACTTTTGCGTGTAACGATGGGTGTATTTTGCACCACTACAGATGTAACGGAATACGAGACTGCTTGGACGGAGAAGACGAAAAGGACTGCGATGCTTGTGTGAAACCAGAACCCGAAGAGGGTCCTAAAGCTTACTTCTACTGTGAGACTTACGACGATTCTTCCCCAATGTGCATACCATGGGCAAAGTTTTGCGACTTTGTAGAAGATTGCCACGATGGCTCCGATGAAAAATGGTGCACGCAACACCTGTGCTTGCCGGGCGAGCGGGAGTGCGATAAGGGACAGTGTATTGAGGAAACTAAGTGGTGTGATGGAATTGTGGACTGCTTAGATGAAAGTGACGAGCTGACATGTAATGATATAATCACGGACGTCAACTCCAACACTTCTTACCAATGTTTTTCGGGAAATATCATCCCCATTAATCAAACTTTTGATGACGTGGTGGACTGTGTTGGGTTCACCTCAGAGGACGAGATGAAAGACGGGGAATACACCATCTCGGGTGTGAATGTCACTTGCGACGAAGGCTCCTTTTCCTGTCTTGGAAGATATGGATGTTTTCAGGCCGAAAGCCTGTGTCTCTTTGATCTTGACAGTTTTGGGCATCTCGATCATTGCCGAACAGGGCCGCATTTGAAGAACTGCGAAACTTTCATCTGTCCACCCCAAACACATTACAAATGCTCAAACTCGTTCTGTATACCTTTACATAGACTCTGTGACGGTACAAAGGACTGTCCAGGAGGAGACGACGAAGGAGATTACTGCAAAAGATTTGAATGTAAAGGTATGTTCAAGTGTCCCACAGAGAGAAATTGCCTTCCTTGGGAGAAGGTATGTGACGGCGTCATCCACTGCAACAAGACTCATGACGATGAGCGATTTTGCGGGATGGAGGAGGCTTGTAGGCTGTGTAAATGTTCAGGTAGTCACGTGGACTGTTCCAAAGGCGAGAGACTTACGTCAATCCCATGGGCGACACGAGAACTGCGCGCACTCACGTTTCGCGGGAACAACATATCATTGACAAATGAGACCTTTGTGCAGTACAGACGCCTTGGTGCCTTGGATCTGGCGAATAACAACATAAAGACTATACCTAAGGGCACCTTTGACCCTCTCGTTAACTTAATCGAACTTGACCTGCGAAATAACTTGTTAACTGTAATTACATCCAAAGTGTTCAGCAAATTGTTCGCCCTACGCAAGCTCATACTCTTTGGCAATCCTATAATGTTTGTCCAGGAAGGCGCCATCGCTCTCTGTACCAATCTGACATATATGAACTTGTCTCATTTAGATATACGAAATGTATCTGAAAACGCTTTTAAGTTTGATGCTGGTATAAAACCTAGACTCCGGTACCTCAACCTCAGTAATAACAACTTGAAAACTTTAAGAAAAGAGTCATTTTCTGGTCTTAATGTCTTGGAGGAGCTATACTTGTATTTGGAAGAAAATGATTTGAGTCAAGTGAAAATTGATGTGTTTTCAACACTTCCCAATACTACCATTCTTAAAACTGACGACTTTAAGTTTTGCTGCATAGCTAAAGGGTATGTAGAAAGTTGTGAACCAAGGACGGACCCCTTCTCAACCTGCGAGGATTTAATGGCCAATATTGGTTTGCGAATTGCTATATGGGTTTTGGGGATTTTGTCTATCTTGGGCAATGCGTTGGTAATAATTTGGCGCTTTCGCTCGGAGAGGGGAAAGGTGGTTTCTTTTCTTATTCAATCCTTAGGAATGTCAGATTTCTTTATGGGTTTGTATTTGCTAATTATAGCAGGGGCTGATGTGTACTACAGAAATAGATACGCCATTGAGTCGGACTACTGGCGAAACTCTGGGCTGTGTAAGTTTGCAGGGGTGATGTCCATGGTATCTAGTGAAATGTCTGTCTTTATGCTAGTAATTATCACTTACGAACGATTCATTGTTGTGTTGTTTCCATTTAAAATCGAGCGCCGAATGAATATGAAGACTGCTAGAATAGTTGTCGGAGTTGGATTTGTGGTCATAGTGATTCTGTCAGTTATCCCAGTTTTGGGGATGCAGTATTTTGGCACCGAAGATTACATCAAAAACGGAGTCTGTTTGCTATACAATTTTACCGCTGGGAAGGTGAAAGGTTGGGAATATGCTGCCGCTATATACCTTGTGGCTAATTTTGTCGCTTTTCTTTTCATCGCTATTGCCTATATCATCATCTACTGGACCGTCCGAAGCACTCGAAAACAAGCTGGTAAGGCTTTTGAAGAGGAAGCCAAACTGGTTCGGCGTATAACATTCGTAATTGCCACGGATTTCTGTTGCTGGATGCCTATCATTATAACAGGCGTGGTGTCCCTTTTGAATGATACCCCTCTCGACCCTACTGTCACAGCCTGGATGGTGGTCTTTGTAATGCCACTCAACTCCGCCATAAACCCGATATTATATACCTTTTCAACCATAGGGCGTGATAACAAGGCTTCAAAAACACAGGTTTACATGCACCAGGCTCAGCTTAAAAAACTGGAAGACAAGGACAATTAAGATTATTGGATCTTCAAACGTCATTGCTGACTTGCGTAGAGAAGCAAAAACCCTAACAGAAAAAAGTTCCCTTCTTAAATGATGATGATGTAACGAAGGCAATAGAATATGTAGATTAAAAAGAATCACTTACACTAATTACTAAAGAATCACTTACACTCACACTAATTACTAACTAGGATCGACAAGTGCTTGAAAATGAGAAGTTTGCCCTAAGACATTTGTTGAAAACGACTTTGAAAATTAATCTGATCTGGAACATAGGAAGGACTAACATGCCTTTTTAAGTAAGGAGCATTAAAAGGCTTGTGGATAGAAATGTATTTTTTATTTTTCTTGTTCGTTGTAAAACAGGCATACAGTGTAGTCGGCTAATTTTGTAAATGGCAGTCAAAATATGAAACATTCCGTTTTATATCCCAGAAAAATATAAGTTTTGAAGTTGTGGTTTGTTAAACGAACTATTTGGCATTTTATGGAGATCGTTATGTTATGATGCAATAGGTAAATGTAATTCTAATAACATTTCAATTGTGTCCTTGAGAGCATGCCATCACATCTCTTTTAAGTCAGCTGGTCCAATGGAATGCAATATGGTACAAAATGAAAACCGATCAATGGAATCAACTGATAATTTAAAAAAGGAATTAAAGCATATCTTATAAGTAAATTTCATTATTGATTGATTGAATTGTAATTGATTTTATGCGAGAATAAGGCTGTTTTTATCTGGAATCTTAATCTTTCTTTATAATATTTTATTACTCTTGGTAATTATTTTAAAGTACTTGTGTACTTAATACTTGTATTTTTGTAAAGTCTATTGAACATTTAGATGGACATTAGACTTAAAATTAATGTATTATTATATAATTATTACAATATTAAGATGATTGGTTAAATTTCATTTATATACAATAACAATGCTATTTATGATGGAATTGTAAATATGCACTTAGCGGTGAAGTCCTATTTAATATTTATATACAATATCATTGCTATTTATGCTGGACTGTAAATATGCACTTAGTGTTAAAGTCCTATTTAATTTTTGTATTTGAATTACATTAATATTTTTATTTTAAATGTTGTATGTGTAATCTTATGGGTTTTTTAATTTTTCTGTGTATTAATACTGTATCAAGGAAAAGAAAGGAAAGAAATAGGACTGAAAGTTTTTAAAGAAAGGGAAAATTATATACTTATATTTTCTCATAAATTTTCCTATTTGTTGTATTAAAGTGTTTTTCGTGCAAATCCTCTAGTGTCACTCACTATAGTACAGTGCAGTGAACCTTAAAAAATAAAAATTCTGTCGGAATACTATGTATTGTTCAGTGTCCGTCCAAAAACGAAGAAATGATAGTTTTGTGGGACAAGACTGACGTAAGTTCCATTATAAGAAAGCAAAATTTATAACTGATATTCCAACAACACGTATCACCCTTATCTATGCTTCAGATTGTTTGCCCCTTCTTTAACGACGTTTTTTCTTCAAAGGTCTGACGTAAGTGAAAAGTAAACGTATTGATCCCTTTTTTTTTCAAGCGCACGGGTACAGTCAATTAGTATTGAATTGCCTTTTTCGTGCTTTGGCGCAGGTGTCACCTCCTTTTCATTAATGGTATTTTCCTGCCTCTAACACTTCTACTTGAAGCCATTTCTCTGCTTTTTGGACTCCATAATGGAAACTGAAGATGACTTCAAATGTGAACGAACGCCTCGAGCAGTGTTCGTGTCTTAAGCAAGTATTTTAGTTTAAGCATGAGCTTCATGTCTTTTAAGAGATAAAAAAGAAACTAGAAGCTTCTGAGGACTTGCTTTAATACAAAACAAAAAGGTTAAAAAGTAAATAAACAACATAAATGGAAAAAAATCGGGAGATTCATATACATACATGTATGATGTAGGGAGCAGATTAAGTTAATCAGGTAAATTCATGCAATAAGAATATAGAGAATGATGACAATATATCCTGACATGGGATCCCAAGGAAAAGAGAAGGAGAAGAACAACCTTGGAGAGGGGGCCTGAAGCTGAGTGAAAAAAAATTAGGGTGGCAGACACGGGGTGAAGCTGGCACAGCAGTAAAAGATAGAGGGAGATAGCGAAGATTGCTGACAAGCCTAATGAGCCGACCATGGCTCGAAGAGGATAATTAAGTATATATCAATTGATTAATTAACAAATAAAAACATGAATACATAAAAATTCGTGTTCAGTGGTAAACTTACTACATTGATGGCCTTTTTTAAGCATAAACAAAAAAACTTGTAAATAGGGTTTCTTATTTTCTTATCCCCTATCTAATGCCATACGACTTTGCTAATTTAATTGGTCACTCGCGGTTGAAATTTTCCTAAAACAGCCAGTTGATAGTGCGTGCTAAGTTAGGCCGAGCCAACTCCAGTGGAGTTTGCGTAGTGAGAGCTGGAGGAATTGATAATGCTCTTGGATATAAAACTTTTGCTAAAACTTCCAAGGTATTCAAATCTTGTTTTGTTCTGTGCAAATGCAATTATCTACCCGCGGCGCTATTTTTCGTGACAAAACGCCTTTGCGTATAGCTCTTAAAAGACAGAACGGGTGTTGAGGATTTAGCAGAAGACAGGAGGATGGCGAACAAGCAGCAGGTTGGTTCCGTAAAGCACGATCATTTCAAACCTTATAATTGTTTCACGGGCGGAGGATAAAAACGTTTTTGTCAGCTTTAAGTCACCTAAGATTTATTTGATTTCAAAAAATCTTCGTTTTAATAATTGAAATCAGAACAATTTTCATTATCATAGTAGAAGTAGATATGCGAGCGATGCACTGGCTAAACCACATTCACATTATACCATGAATCCTTTCATTCTTCCAGTGGTAAAACTTGACTGGTAAACTTGATGCAAGATGCACTTGTCTGACAAGTCTCTAGAGTTCTCCCTGTCCTTGCTGTTCCAAGTAATAGTGTACAGTTTGGTGGTCCTTACAAGCGGCTCACTGCTGGTCGAAAATGTGGACGAGGAGCACGAGCAGTTTGTTCGCATAGCCCAGGAGTGTTACGACAAACAAGGTAAATTTGTCCTTTACATATTACAATCATTTGATAGTTCTTATTTGCTATATTGAAGGGATCAGTTGCTGTCTGCAAACTTGCTGTCAAGATTATGCATTGTTAGTTTCTAAGCGCAAATGAAAAATATATAAATTGTTTTTTATTGCTTTAAGGATACGTCACGTCAGTTAACAAAAGAAAGGTTTGTCGTCTTGTTGATATTCATTGTAAGTAAGTGTATGAGAGGAACACCCGTCTTTTTATTATAAGGGAAAAATGTAACTCATTGAAATTCCAGTGAATCAGACCACCCTGATCTACGCGATAGAGTCGTTTGCCGCCTGTGTCACCAATGTTTGTGACAAGAAATCCGGACCGGATAATCAGTGTGGTGATATGCAACGATACACATCAATCTGCGGGCGAATCTCTAGTAACACATCGTCAACGTACCAAACACGAAGTAATGTCACATACCAGTCGGGGAAAGTGTGTGACTGGACAATAAGAGTGGACAGAGAATTGAACGCTAACATCAAGATTTCCCTTCAGCACATAGATATTGAATATAGCCCCAACTGCGTTAATGACTATCTCGCTATCTATGACAGTGCCAACAGATTAAATGAAATTGGCCGATTTTGTGGGAATACGTTTCCGGTCACATTATACTCCACCGGTCGGTTTGTTCGTATTATATTCCAAACCGACTTATCTGCTGTGAAATCGGGGTTTGTCTTATACTACGATGCTTGGAGCAAAGACAAGTACGAACGAATACGATCCACGGAACCTGGTACTGCCTACCGACGAATTAGCCACGACTCCGGCACATTTAATATAGATGATACCTTTTTGGTGGGGCGAAGTGAGCAGATCCAACACTATGAGTGGCTTGTACGAGTGGAAGTCGGTAGAAAATTATGGGTGTCTTGGACATTGGAATCACCCATGAACAATGGTACTTTGTTACGCATATATGAGAACCCATCAATGTACAGTTACGTGCTTTTCTCATCTACTGACACAGGAGGAAACTCTTTTGGCGGCAACAACTCCATAACCAACGGAACCCTGTTCGCAGACCATTTTCAAATGTTTGTTCATTTTGAATGGGCTCTTTCGCATAGTCAGAACCTTTCCTTTCATTTCACTTACAATAGTTACCTTCCTTCGCATTGCGAGAAGGGTCTGACAGCTTCGTGTCCGGAACTGAACCCAGAACATCCACCAAAGACCTTTCTTATTGAGACAGTTGTTGTCAACGAAAATGGTTATACATTTTACGCAACGGGCGCCGAATCCATGTATCGCGTCATTCGTTTTATAATGACCGAAGACCTGAGATTGGACAACAAAGTCCTTGGCGTAAGGTTTACCCATTTCGATTTTTCGGTATACTCCTTTGACGATTGCTCCACTGGCGGGATATTGTTTTTTGACAACGACAATGTAGAGGGCAAGGACTATCTTCTTGGAGAACACGTAATATGCGGATCAGGTAAAGATTAACGTACATGCTATCATGAATACAAGTAGATTCGCTATAATACCTTATCTTCTTATTTCATAGTGTACTTTCTAAGATGTTTTTTCAACATGTAACGGATAGTAAGGCGTGGAAAATTATTCAAACAATTTTGTTATTTATGGCATATTAGTTTTTTCGCATAGCAGAGTCGTAGCCCAGAATATATGACGCCTGTAATGTTGATAAGGGTGACGAATTGTTCAAGTCTGCAGTAAGGTTTTGGATCGTATTGTTTTTCTTTCCTTGTTTTAAAATATCACAAATGTTCATAAAGCCTTTCGTTTTATGAAGCGTATCACTCGTGGGACTAGTTAAGAGTATCATGTGCATTTTATTATGTTTCAGCAAAACAGTTAATTCCAAATAATTTCAATTTTATGATTTCACTTATTTACAAGGTACAATTCTTTATGAACACTTAAAGGTAATTACCAATCAATTACACATATCTTATTATAAAAATTAAAAATGTGGATATTTTGTAGCCGAAGAAAACATTGGGATACTTTCTTCGAGGTTAACAATGTCCAATGGGTCCATGTCAAT